CATGGAAGTATTGAGATGAAGTATGTCAACACTGAGGACCAAGTAGCACATATGTTTACAAAAGGGCTTGGAGGACCAAGACTACAAGAAATGCAATGACGATTGGAAATTATCAAAAGACATCAGAGAATTGTCGTTGAGGGGGAGTATTGAAGAATCAACTCCATTTCTCTGGAGTCTTCTATCAACAACAAATAAAATAAAAGATGGAAATGGAAGAGAAGCCGAGAAGGACCTGGAGATCATATTGGAGCCACAAATCCTACCTACCACACTAACTGTTCTTGATATTTTGAATTGGAATGGCGGTGGATTGTATGTATAAATAGAGGCTTGCTATTGGGTGTAAGATAAGTTGAGTGAGCAGAAGAAAGAATAGAAAGACAGACATACGTGAGGTAGTGTGGTGAGAGTAGTTTGAGTGTGGTGAGAGTAGTGAGCTTGAGAGAGATAGTTGTGTGTGATGTGTCTCATAATAGTGAGTGTGAGCTTAAGTTGTTAAATTACAAACAAGTGTATAAAGTTTGTAAGAGTTGTAATTTAGTCGCTATATTTTATAAAGCACTATTTCAGAGCATACCCGATCCGGTAAAACTCAACAGGCTTGGATAACAAGATCTCTGCTTCTTCTAAGATTTCCAATGTGTATTTCCTCTGTGATAAATGAATGCCTTATGAGTTTCTGGCAACTTCAATGCCAAGAAAATTTTTGAGTTGTCCCATGTCTTTGATACCGAATGTCTGGTGTAGAACTTGCTTTAATTTTGTGATTTTTGCCAAATCATTTTCCCCAACCCAAAGGTCATCAACATAGACTAGGACACAAGTGTATGAATCCTCAAGGGATTTGGAAAATAGTGAATGGTCAACTTGACTGGGAACAAAACCTTGTTGAATGAGGCAATCTGTCAGTTTTGCAAACCAATGTCTGGAGGCCTGTTTGAGTCCATATAGTGACTTTTTCAGCCTGCAAACATGGTTCTTGATGTGTGGTGGTGGCTTGTAGTCCTTAGGTAGTTTCATGTAGACCTCCTCTGTGAGGTCTCCATGTAGGAAAGCATTGTTCACATCAAGTTGGTGAACATGCCAGGATCTGGAGGCAGGAATTGCAAGGAACAGTCTGACTGTTGTCATCTTGACAACAGGAGCAAATGTGTCTTGATAATCTATCCCTTATTGTTTATTGTATCCTTTGGCAACCAACCTGGCCTTCTCTCTTTCAAGTGTGTCATTTGACAAAAACTTGTACTTGAATATCCATTTGTTCCCTAGTGGTTTCCTCTGTGGAGGTAGGGAGACCACATCCCATGTTTGGTTCCTTTCAAGGGCATCAATCTCATGGTTGATGACCTGATTCCACTCAGGTCTGAGGGCTGCTTCCTCATAGGTTTCTGGTTCTTTGTGACAAGAGATGTTGAGAATGTACTTTAAGTGGTGAGAGGAAAGACAATTGTAGTTTAAAATGTCTGAGATGGGATAGGTGATACCTTGGACCTTTTGTTGCAAAGAGTGACTAGTGGAAGAAATCTGCTGAAGCATGTTGCAATGGTAGTTTTGTAGTTTAGAGGGAGGTTTGATGGTTCTGGTTTGTTTTCTGAGGGCTATGGGAAGGTCAGGTTGGATGGTAGAGGGTGGGGAAGGAGTATTAGATGGGTTGGAAACTGCAGGAGGACAGGTAGGAGATGGTGGGATGAGGGAAGGTGGAGAATAAGGAGGGGGATCATCAGGAGCAGGGCATGGTGGAATAGGATAGGGGGATGGTGGGATGCAGGAATGATATGGAGAAGTAGAGGGGTCTGAATGGAATTGAATTCAGTTTCATAAAACTGGACATCTTTGTAGATGAATGTTTCATTGGAATTGAGGTCATAAAGTTTGTATTCTTTGATCCCTGAAGGATATCCTAGGAATACACATTTTTCTGTATCTCTCTTGGAATTTGGTTCTGTGATTTTTTAGAGTGGGGGCATAGCACAGACATCCAAAAACATTCAAGTCTTGAAGGTCAGATGGTTTGTTGTATAATTTTTGATAGGGAGTAAGGTTGGCTAGGATTGGAGTTGGGACACGAATAATGAGGAACACTGAATGTTTAACACAGTCTCCCCAAAAACCTATAGGAAGATTAGCTTGAAACTTTAAAGCCCTGGCAATGGCTAATATGTGTTGATGTTTTCGTTCAACTTTGCTATTCTGTTGGGGGGTCTCCACACAAGACATTTCATGTGTGATGCTAGTGTCTGCAAAGAAGTCAGACATCTGGAATTCCTGTCCTTGATCACTGCGAATGGTTTGAATAGAAGTATGGAATTTAGTAGTGATCATTGTGCAGAATTGTTTGAGTTTAGGTCTGGTATCAGCCTTGCATGAGAGAAGAATTATCCAAGTCATTCTTGAATGATCATCTACTATAGTTAAGAAATACTTGAAGCCATCATAAGTAGGATAAGAATAGGGACCCCAAATATCAACATAGATTAACTGAAAGCAATGTGTAGTTACAGATGAACTTGAAGGAAAAGGAAGTCGTTTTTGTTTGGCAAAATGACAAACATCACAAGGTAAGTTGTTGTTGGTTTCTATGGATTTACAAAGCTGATTCAATGGAGGAATTCGACTGTGGGAAACATGTCCAAGTCTGAAATGCCAAATGTCTAAAGAAGGTGAGCTAACAGCAGTTGTGATGTGGTTAGGTATACTAGCTAAGTTTAGGTTGATGTGGTAAAGGCCATGGGAAAGCTTAGCAGAACCAGTCACTCTCTTCAGCTCCAGGTCCTGTATTGTGCAAGAGTCAGAAGAAAAGGTTAAACACAAAGGTCTGGTGGTGGTCAACTTGCTTACTGAGATCAGGTTGAAGGTAAACTTTGGAACAAATAAGGCATCCTCAAGGATCAGACCATTACGACAATGCACTTGGCCTATGTGAGTGGCCTGAACTCTGTCCCCAGTAGGTAAGTTGATATAAATACGGTTGACATTTTTGAATGTATGAAGAAATGTGAGGGAGCTGACTATGTGGTCAGTAGCTCCTGTATCTAGTATCCATTGAGTAGCAGAAGTACTGCGGTTTAGAAGATAACAAGAGTGATTACTTGATGGTGCAGACTCATAATGAGTAGTGAGGGCTGCTGAATGAGAGGGGTAAGACTGCTTGTCCTTGAGATTGTCATTCATGAGATTCATCAGCTTGTCATAATTAGACTTTGTAAGTTTGAATTCCTGTTGTGAATCTGAGGAAGTACCACTTTCAGCGGCATTGATGAATGATCTTATGCGAGGTGGTGGTGGCCTGGCGCGGGAGGATGGAGGAATACCATGCTTCTTGAAGCATTTTTCTTTAGTGTGTCCAATCCTCTTACAGAAGGTGCATTCTGGTGGCTTAGCAGAGGGGTTAAAGGTCATAGTGGAACCTCGCGAGGACAAGCCTGGTGGCCAACCATGTTTATGGTAACATGTGTCTTCAGTGTGGCCTGGAGAGTTGCAGAATGTGCAATGTGGGTGCTTGCCAGAGACAAAAGGGTGTTTAGAGCCCTGGGCAGTGAAGGTTGTACTCTCAACAGTAATTGTTTTACCTTGTTGAGTGCCATAGAGTTGGCGTTCATGTTGCAATGCCCTATGGAAAACCCTATCAATGGGTGGGAGAGTATCTCCAAAGAGTACTCGGGAACGAACATATGCATAATTATCATTTAGACCACGAAGGAACTGAATAACAGAGTTGACATCACGATATCCAACAACAACATTCATCGCAGCACAATCGACATGGCTAGTTGTTGTGCAACGACAAATATTGATGGGCTGATAGTTGTCTAGTTCATCTTGTAATGCAATAAGATTGCCGTAATACTCCATCACTATTTGATTACCTTGTTTCAAGGTGCCGATGGACTCAATCAACTCAGCAACGCGAATCATGTCATCCTGACCGTAGCGAGCTTTGAGGCTAACCCAGGCCTCGGATGCAAGTTTGGAAGACATGATTGTCTTCTTGATGCCATGATCAACAACTTGTTGGATCCAGCTAAGGACCATGATGTTGTTCCTGCTCCAAGATGAAAACTGAGCATCAATGGGTGTAGGGGAAGTGATGGTGTCATTGATGAAGCCAAGCTTGTTCTTGGCGGCCAGAGCATTGAGCATCCCCTTGCTCTAGTAATTGTAATTGGTGGTGGTCAGCTTCTCACCTACCAGAAGAAGTGCAGGTTGTTCAGAACCATGGAGATAGTAAGGATCCGCGGTGGGATCTAGTGTGGTTGTTGTTGCCATTGTAGAAGTGGCGGCTAGGGTTGCTATGATACCATACCAACGGGTATGTTTTGGAAACCCTAACTTGATTTCTCATTGATTAACATTGAGACTTATATACATGGTTCGTGCATTACAGGACAAACAACTCTAGCTGTAAATTGACAGAGGAGAAGGACAGAAAAACAGAACAAGAGGGAACATAAAACTGGACAAGTGAAAGAGACGTTGTGGCTTCAGGGCACAACGGTGACGTTTCAACCATCTTTAGTCTCACCGCCTGCTACGACGACGTCTTGATCATTTTCGGACTCTCTGCTCGGGACGGCACCCATTCCAGCTATATCAGTCTTCGATTTACATGAGACGATGTCGCACCACCTAATTGTCTTGGTAGCCGTTGGAGTGCGAAATTTTTTTTTGAATTTTTCTATGATACAAATATGAAAGCGTGAATATTTCAATAAAATATTTGACTAACTTTCATAAGCCCCCAATTTTAGTGATATTAACTCCATAGTTCATACTAATCCACCTCTCCGAGATAAATGATACTTTGAATTGGCGTGAAACCTAATAGCGTTGTTCTTTACGGGCAATCATTTCCTCCTCAATATAGGATTTTGGTTGATATTTACATGGGCCTAAGCATATTGGGCCATCAGCCTTAAACCCGATACAGTTTTGAAAAAGGAGAATTTTCTCAAACGCGTTATTAACTTGCTACCTCGCCGAAATCGTAAACGAAGTCGTTGCCGTCCATATCTTCATCGGACGGCTCCTATGCTCTCGAACCTTCTCGAATTTCGCACCCTCCTCCTCCTTTGCCCTACGCTCCCAATCCCCAAAGCTTATAAAACCATCCTCAAGCTCCACTCCGTATTCCTCCACTGAGATCTGGAAGAGAAGCTCGATAAACCCTAATCGAGCTCTTCAGATCTATAAATTTTCTTTCCCTCGTTTTTTTCTTTAAAGCTTTCGTTACCTTCGTTTGTTCTTTCTCCGCCGGCGATATGGCGAAAGGTGAAGGTCCCGCCATCGGTATCGATCTCGGAACTACATACTCCTGCGTCGGAGTATGGCAGCACGACAGGGTCGAGATCATCGCCAATGATCAGGGTAACAGGACGACTCCGTCCTATGTTGCCTTCACTGATACCGAGCGTTTGATCGGTGATGCCGCGAAGAATCAGGTCGCCATGAACCCTATCAACACCGTCTTCGGTAAGTAGCTCCGCCCAGATCTGTTTTATCTTTTTAGGGGTTCGAATTGCTTGAATGCTTATAGTATAGCTTTACTTGTCTAGGGTTTTGCCTATCTGTAGATACCTTCGTTTAATTGTTGTGACTGCTCTGGTCTATGTAGTCAAAGTGTAGTAAACGATGAATCAATGTTAAAGTTATAATCTTTGCTAGTTTTAGATTTTGACGTTTCGATCTATGCATCTGAGTACATGTTTAGCTGTAGTGTGAATTGAATATCCGTTGTCATAGCTTGTTTAAGTTTGGGTTTTACCTTTAGGATAAATAGAAAGGTGGGATGTGGTCGGATCTTATGACTGTGTGGACAGGTAGCCTAGTTCTGTGGATTCTGGTGGCGATTGCTTATTGTTTGTGATGTTGGTCTATTTTTATAGATGCGAAGCGGTTGATTGGGAGAAGATTCACCGACGCTTCCGTCCAGGGTGACATGAAGCTATGGCCTTTTAAGTTGGTCTCTGGTGTCGGAGACAAACCAATGATTGTTGTCACCTACAAGGGCGAGGAGAAGACATTTGCAGCTGAGGAGATCTCCTCCATGGTGCTCATAAAGATGCGTGAGATTGCTGAGGCTTATCTTGGTACCACCATCAAGAACGCAGTTGTGACTGTTCCAGCTTATTTCAACGATTCCCAGAGGCAGGCCACCAAGGATGCCGGTGTTATTGCTGGTCTCAATGTGATGAGAATCATCAATGAGCCTACCGCTGCTGCCATTGCCTATGGTCTTGACAAGAAGGCCACAAGTGTTGGGGAGAAGAACGTGTTGATCTTTGACCTTGGTGGCGGTACTTTTGATGTTTCCCTGTTGACTATTGAAGAGGGTATCTTTGAAGTGAAGGCAACTGCTGGAGACACTCACCTTGGTGGTGAGGATTTTGACAACAGATTGGTGAACCATTTCGTTCAGGAGTTCAAGAGGAAGAACAAGAAGGATATCAGTGGAAACCCCAGGTCTCTGAGGAGGTTGAGGACTGCTTGTGAAAGAGCGAAGAGGACCCTCTCGTCCACTGCCCAGACCACCATTGAGATTGATTCTCTCTATGAGGGCATTGATTTCTACTCTACCATCACCCGTGCCAGATTTGAGGAGCTCAACATGGATCTCTTCAGAAAGTGCATGGAGCCAGTGGAGAAGTGTTTGAGGGATGCCAAGATGGACAAGAGCACTGTCCACGATGTTGTTCTTGTCGGTGGATCCACCAGGATTCCCAAGGTCCAGCAGCTCCTTCAGGACTTCTTCAACGGCAAGGAGCTTTGCAAGAGCATCAACCCAGATGAGGCTGTTGCTTATGGTGCTGCAGTCCAAGCTGCCATCTTGAGCGGTGAAGGCAACGAGAAGGTTCAGGATCTTCTTCTGTTGGATGTCACTCCTCTGTCCCTTGGTCTTGAGACTGCCGGAGGTGTCATGACTGTTTTGATCCAAAGGAACACCACCATTCCCACCAAGAAGGAGCAGGTCTTCTCAACCTACTCGGACAACCAGCCTGGTGTGCTTATCCAAGTCTATGAAGGTGAGAGGGCTAGGACCAAGGACAACAACTTGCTCGGCAAGTTCGAGTTGTCCGGGATCCCACCAGCACCACGTGGAGTACCACAGATCAACGTGTGCTTCGACATTGATGCCAATGGTATCCTGAATGTCTCTGCCGAGGACAAGACCACGGGACAGAAGAACAAGATCACCATCACCAACGATAAGGGTAGGTTGTCCAAGGACGAGATCGAGAAGATGGTCCAGGAGGCCGAGAAGTACAAGTCAGAGGATGAGGAGCACAAGAAGAAGGTCGAGGCCAAGAATGCCGTGGAGAACTATGCTTACAACATGAGGAACACCATCAAGGACGAGAAGATTGCTGCCAAGCTCGATGCTGCTGACAAGAACAAGATCGAGGATGCCATCGAGAAGGCCATCCAGTGGCTCGACAACAACCAGCTTGGTGAGGCTGATGAGTTCGAGGACAAGCTGAAGGAGCTTGAAGGCATCTGCAACCCCATCATCGCCAAGATGTACTCTGCTGGTGGCGGCCCTGGCATGCCCGGTGGTGGCATGGATGAAGATGATGTTCCTCCTTCAGGTAGCAGCGGTGCTGGTCCCAAGATCGAAGAGGTCGACTAAGTTGTCTGTCAGGGTTTCTCATCCCTGAGGGTTTTTACTTTTATGGATTGTTTTTGAAGAAGGATATTTTGTTTTATTTTCTCATTTGGATTTTGTCGGGGGAGGGTTAAGTGATTGCAAGCTGGTAGATTGCTTATTTTGAACTGGTGGATTTTGCCTGATGAATGATACTACCTCCCTTTGACAATTGCAATCTGTGTTCGTTAATGATTTTTATCATGTTGCTTTGTTCATGTTTATGCTTTGACATCGTACTGTGTGGAGCGCCTGCTACTCGAGTGGATGGCAGAAACTGGTTGTTAGAGTCTGATTTCCTCATGCCTCACTTGCGCACGTGGGGCGGCTTGAGGTCCGACGACTTTCCACATTACAAAATTAGCCTTTGTATTGAAGAACCAATTAGCCTTTGTATTGAAGAACCAAAAAAAAATTATTGTCAAAAAAAAATATTGAAGAACCAAAAATAGATAAGGACACCTCATAGTTGACCCATATCAGCAAAGCTACTTGGGCCAACAAGTTCTCTTTGCCTCAAGTTTTCTGGTGAAGTCGCAAAGTTCTTCACTTTAGTTTCTCTCCAAACATCTCCAAAACTCTACAAATATGATATGACCGTTTGTGATTCGTATTCATTACTATTCCCGACTTTGAGGACTAAGAGATGTAAAAAAAAAAAAAAAAACAAAGATTGAAATACCATACTAGAGGTTGTAGCGGAAAAAAGTAACGATAGGTATTTTATGCGGAGTAGACCTTGGTTTAGTTGCTGGAGCCGAAACTATGGAATCATAAAGTCTCCTTTCTGTACTTCTTGGTTACAATAAGTTCTCTTCTTGCTAGCCACACATTCTACCTACATAAACATGTTTGTTATAATATGCTTGTTGTTGCCACATCTAAATATCCACGTTTTAGGATTATAGAGACAACAGTGACCATTATGAAGGACAGCTTTAGAGAACCATTGGCTATGGATATCCACAAACTTGATCTCGCTGCTGCAAACCCTACCAACATGCTGCAAGTAGCATAATAAACACTGCACCATAAATCGATCACTGATCTAGTCGCCTTTTCACTCTTCCCTTGGGGAACTGAATAGGCCCTCTATAAATATGACAATGAAACCAGAGCTAAAATTGCCCACCAAGAATAAAAACATGGAAGTTTCAGGTATATCAACCTACAGACTGGAACCCAAAAACCAGAAGGAATAGAAAACAGGAAAAAAATGGTAATACAGAAGAATATGCTAAAACAAAAGTGCACCAAATGCCATGGGACGGATTTTCCATAAGAGGTAAGTAAACAGACCGTATCCCAACCTACAAATTCTATGCCTCCTTCAAGTCGATGAATGATCGCTCGCTCAAAGGAGAAGGGCGAAGACACACACGGACTTCATGTTCCTCTGGTCCCCGATGTTTCGGCACAATAATCTCCAGAATGGTTCCAGTCTCGTCCCGATAGGCTTCCAGCTTAGCATCTTCAGGAATGCAGTTGGGGAGGGGAATCTCCCTGACGAACTCCCCTGGCGGGCAGTGCTCCGGAGTTGCATCTGTTAGTTTAAATGTCCTATCATGCCTTTTAATAAAGGGCATGCGAGCAGTACTTACACAAGATATTTTCACTATTCCATGACTGTTGGTGTTCCTCCACGTGACCTTCACCCTTTCTAAATCTGCAAATGGCAAGCTGATGATGATCAAGAATGCTTCTTCATCTTCGTATATGGTCTTCGCTGCTGTAACAGGTCCGTAGACATTTTTCATCACCCCGCCAAAGTCATTGAGCCATGCTGGCTCAGTTGGATGGATGTTCATGTCTACCCTCTCAACATGGGAATTGTTATTGTGGAGACAATCATCCTCATTTACTTGAGGAGAATATGCCTTCTTCCTTTTATTATTGCAAAACGGAGAGTAATCCATCACTTCACCACTACTACTACTACTATGGTCCGTAGACTGAGTAGAAAGATTCAAACCAGTACCATTAAGCAATTTCCTTGGATGGAAATTCCCATTAATCTTCAATGGCAGAGGGGGACGCTCGAGCTCAAATTCTGTGGCTGGCAAGGTCCTCCAACAGCTAAAATCACTTGCTTCAGGAGGGATGCAGAAATTTACATCACGGCCTGTGAGTTCTACCCACCTCTTCCTTTCTTCCTCATCAAGATTCACGAGATTTGGCGTGTGAACAACTTCAATACCGTGAAGGCACTGTGGGTTAGAAAGACCCCTGTAATGCTTCCTCTGCATCCTGTGAGACCGGACAAAGCCCTTGTCAACACTGAATGGGAATGGGCGCTCCCCTTGACGCGAGTGCCCATTCATGTAACTCCTCAACTGCATCTTACCCAAAGCATTTTCAGGCCTCTCCTTGAAAACCCACATGTACATATTCTCCATATCGTGTTGCACCAAGAATGCGTCAAGGTGCAGATCCGTTTTCTCATACCCAGAGACACCATTGCTATCCTTCACTATCTTGGACTTCGACTTCTCACTCAAAACCGGTTTGAAATAGAAGGTAAAGAAGAACCAAGCACCCCAAATGCTGTCGAGCCTCTTGGCACATTTCTTTGAAGCTTTAGGCACACTGACAGTTGTCTCAACTTCATAAATTGGAGGAGCATGACCCAAATCTAAAATGTCACATGAGTCGTTCCAATTCAGAAGAGAAGGTGAAGGAGGCTCAGATGACACCGGAAGGTTGATGTCAGGTGGCCTGGAGAGAATCAAAGGCCGGTTCATCTCCCTCTCCAAGTCATCGTGCATTAAGGAACCAGAATCCATTGACAAAAGCGTGGAAGGGTGATAATTCTCCATTGACAATGTCGTTATGAGAGCTTCCGCCATATATTCTTTTCCTCTTGTTTCTACTTTCCAAATGAGATTTCTTATTTTCACAATCACTAGCAAAGCCCTCGATCAGTCAACAAAACCAAACAAGCAACTTATCAACCTCTTCATGATTTCAACTGCCCACTATTTTCCCAGTAGGTAGGCTACAGAAGTTCATGAGGAATTCAAAAACCAGAAGAAAGCGGCTTCTTCAAGTACATCACTAACCTGGCCAGGACAAAACCCGAATAGAAATCGAGATCAGAAAAACAATCCACGGAATCACTTACTCAACAGCTAAAGATTGAAGCTTCATAATCATTATGGCATGAAACCAGCACTACCAATCAGCTCTACTCATACCGTCAAAAGAATTTCCAGCAGACTATCAGAATCAGCTCAGGCAACAATGAAAAGATCATGACTCTCCCAGCATAACCTAAAACTTCAAATGAAGCTACTTAATGTCGATCGGTTAACTAATATCTTTCTGGGTAATCCATCACGGAACATGTAATTCCAAAATCATGGAGGGAAGAACATAAACAGTAATCCTAAACAAGCCCTAGAATCTCTTCAGGGGAACGCTTCCAGAAAACAGCAAATAAAGTGACAAGAGATTCCGAAACACATATAATCAAAAGTAAGCCAAACCCTGAAAACCTGAACAGGGTAATCGTCAGAGATTCGAGAATTACCTAAAAGAGGGAGCTGAAATCCACCGAGAACGAGAACTTCAATATTCGATCCCCAAATTTTGAGAGAGAGAGAAATATCGGAGGTTGTTTAAAGAGACGGATAGATGAGACTGGGGACAGCCACTAGCGAGACCTGCACCAGATGAAGCCGGTTGGGAGCGGTGATAGAGATTAGAGCCATAGAGGACGTTAATTTCAACTTCTAACTTCTAAGTTCTAACTAGACTCTTGCCACTAATTTGAGGATTACTAAAATAGAGAATATACCATAGATTTTTTCCCCCAATAGCTCACTTGTATTATCAAGACGAAAAGATAACAATAGTTTACACCATAGGAACAAATCAAAATCGAAAATCAAAAGTATTAACACTCGCAGATAACAAAGAAAGGGCATTCTTAGCCACCAGATGGGACACCCCGATTGTTTCTCCTGCCAATGAACCGTACTCCAAATAGTCTGAATTGTTGTGCCTAATTTCCTCCAATAACAATATTAAACAAATTTGGATAATATAAAGCCATCTAGTGTTATGTATTGTCATCCTAATTGATTATCTACAGATTTAATCAATCGTGTTTTCATACTAAATTAATCGAGTGTTTATAAATCTTTCATGACTCAAAGAAGAGAAGAATAAGTTGAGTACAAGTTTTTGCTTCCGTCTCAATTGTGACTACCACGATAAGAATGAAAGAGGCAATTTTTTTCGTTTACTAAATTTCACGACCTTTTGACTTCATAGTTTTCACTTCCTACTCTTAAAGGAGAAGCGTCGCAGTTGAAAAGTAACTTTCATCATTAGTTGTCTCTTTCCCCATTCCCTAGAGCGGCTGGCATGTCAAGATTGTCCATTGTTGCCTCCTCATATGGTTGGTCTCGTCGTTGCATTGGATTCTCGTACTTCGCTTCGACTACCTTGTTTTTTTTTTACAGTAATCAGATCTTCATTCATCAATGAAACTCGGATACAAAGGGACATCAATCAGACATGGGCGGAAATCAAATCAAGAATAGTAAGCCAATCGCTTGGGAGAGAACGACTAGCTTGTGACCGAGCAACCCAGTCAGCTCTGAAGTTCAAACGACGGGGGAGATCTCAATCAAAGGCGTTGAGATAAGGATAATCCGCATAGCTTCCATCATCGAGGCACATCTCCATGGCCAAGAATCTAACCCCTGAGAAACAGCCTTCACTAAAACTTCACAGTCGGACGAGAGCACACATGGCACGTTATACTTTTGAGCAATTTTCTGTCCTTCTAACATAGCCTTTGCTTCAACTTCAATCGGAGATGAACAAAGAAAAGAGTCAGCTCGTCCATCACAAATCTGTCCTTGGTCGTTACTTATGACGATACCGTAAGCCGCCTCCTGGGAATCATGTAGGAATGATCCGTCGCAGTGTATCTCCATCATGGGGGTACATGGCGGTGGGCAAGAATGTAGATGGGGCCCTCTGGGTTGACTCTGAGCGATCGGAAAAGGAGGGGAACGTCTCGGGCAATTGCTCCACTCCAGGAATTCCCTAACTGCTGAGATGCAAGTTCCATAGTCTGATGGAGTGCAATTCCTGAACAGCCAGGCATTCCTTGTTTTCCAAATATTCCAACAAAGGAAGATGACTTGAAGAAGGCTCGAGGGCGAGAGACTTTCCTTCAAACCACAGAACCAGTCGAAGAAGCAAGTTGAGGTGGAAGGGAGCGGAAGGGTGGGGAAAAGTCTATTCCAAGCATTCGCAGCATGCGTGCAGAAGAAGAGGCAATGACCAATGGTTTCCTCGGGACAGTTGCAGCATGGACACAATGCATTAGGGGAGCAATTTCTTTTCTGAAGGTTTCTCCTTATGGCAAGTAATCCCTTTGAACTCCTCCAAATGAAAAAAATGGAGCTTCGGCGGTAGGGATAAACTCCAAATCCACTTCCATCGATCCCTGTCAAAGTTGGACACATAATCACCATGGTTAGCACTACCAAAGATAGAATTATGGAACGCATGATAGGCAGTTTTAACTGTGAACTTCCCTGTCTTTGTAAATTTCCATGCCCACATGTCTTTCCTCTTATTTGAACCAATTGGGATCCTTTGGATTGCCTCCACCTCTTCCTCGGATAGAGAGCTGGGCATTGCATTTAGGTTCCATTCATTATCATTTCTGTTGATCCATTCTTACACTCTTGTATCATCAAGCTCCTCCGCAGACAATCGATGGTCAATGGCCGATGAAACCCAAGGATCCCTAAAAGCAAATGTGTCCTCTCCATTACCTATGACTCGAACAGTACCTAGGTTTAAGATTTTCTTTGCTTCCCATAAGCTAGCCCATATCCAAGAAGGACGGCTACCTTTACGAGAGGACAAGAAATCTCCTCGATGGTAGTACATGCCTTTAAGAAGTCGAGCCCAAAGAGTATCCGGGGAAGTGAAGAGTCTCCAAGCTTGTTTTGCAACCAAAGCAAGGTTAAAGTCCTTGAAATTCCTAAAACCCAGTCCACCTTCACTTTTGGGTAAGCATAGGATCTTTCCTTTGCACCAATGAATTGTCTTCTTCACCATAGAACCAGACCAGAAGAATCGCCTGAATACTGAGTCCATACGTTTTGTGAGGCCGTCTGGGAGGAGGAAAAGGCTCATGATAAAAGTCGGTAAAGTCTGAATAACCGCTTTGAGTAAGACCTCTTTTCCCCCAAAAGAGAGAGTGAGACTTTTCCATGCTTCACCTTGTTTCTCCATTCTCTCAATAAGAACCTCCTGTTGGGTAGCCTTCCCGAAAATCACTGTATCATCCACGAATAAACAATGAGATAGAGTGGGGCGCCTAGGATTCAATATGATTCCTTGTATTTGGCGGGTAGCAACTAGGGGTGGGCAACCGGTTCGGTAAACCCGAACCGAACCAAAACCAAATTAAACCGAACCGAAACCGAGTTAATGCTATTCGGTTCGGAATTCAGAAGGAAAATATGGATAGTTTGGAAACCAGGGTTCTCTCAACCGAACCGAATTTCCGACCGAAAAACCGAAATACTATAATTGCAAGCTCCAAATGGTGGATTTTTATGTTTGTAGTTGTTTTTAGACTTAAATATTTGAATTGTTTTATGACTTATGTGTTCAAAAGACTGATTTTATCATTGATGATGCATATAATTACATATTTATTGTTTATATTAGGGGTAAAAATAATTTAAAAGTGAGAAGATACAAGTATTTTAACAAATTCGGTTTTGTGTGAAAAACCGAATCGAACCGAATTATAATTCGGTTTAAACCGACCAAACCGAATTATAATTCGGTTTGAGGTTTGGGAGAATTCGGGGACCCTGTATTCATAATTTCGGTTCGGTCGAAACCGAACCGACGAATGCCCACCCCTAGTAGCAACTGCTTTCTCAATCAGGAATGTCATAGCATTTGACATGAGAATGAATAAGAAAGGGGACATTGGGTCGCCTTGTCTGATACCCCTAGATGGGGAGAAGAAATCGGTTGCTTCCCCATTGATCAGGATAGAGAACCTGACCGTACGAATAGAAGCACTAATCCACTTAAGCCATTGGGTAGCAAAACCGTACCTTGACAACAGAGTTTCAAGGAAGTCCCAATCAACAAGATCGTAAGCCTTCCTCGTGTCAAGTTTCAACATCATGTCCTTCTTATTGCCCTGAGGATGGTTCTTGAAATAATGAAGCACTTCGTGAACAATGATTATATTATCCTGAATAAGACGAACTTTGGTGAAGGCTGTTTGCAGTTCTGATATCAGTGCAGGAGTGGGTTTAGTAGCGGCACCACATTCTTCATTATATTGGCTTCTCATAACTCATTCTTGGTAGTGGCATGGTTTGTAGCATTTGTGACTTCTAGGACGACACCCCTTACATGTTGAATTGATGATGACTCCGAAGGCCTCACACCTCGTACAAGATTATATTACTAATTTGCGAAGGTCATCCTCGGAATCACAATAACCACCTATGCCACCTCCTAATCTTACACCGCACCCTTGACTATGTCACGATCTCTCATTATGTTTCAACATAGACTTTGGCAATACTCTTCTATTGTTTGACCTATATACCTCCAATAATAACCCCACACTTCTAGCCTCTAGGGTCGACACCACAGTAGACTTGATACCTGCTATAGCACGGATGTTACAGTATGCATGACGCTAGCAAGACTTGCTATCCTAAGCGTAGATCCAAATAACAATGCACAATTCTCGACGAGACTTCCATGGTAGGGGAAAAGTTAATCTGCTAACTTGAAGATTCATTAGCAGATACTAACTGATATCCAAAATACATGAACTAATATCCAAGTACTAAAGTATCTAGAGAGCACAGACTAGTATTCAAACTTTACTAACTGATATCCACCATGAATCAACTATTATCCCAAATTCACAAACTAATATTTAGACAACACAGAATAGTATACAAACAGCACATAATTAGTATCCAGATAACACATAAGAGTATCCAGATAACCCATAAGAGTATCCATATTGAATACTAGTTGGTATATGCTATATGGAAACTAGTTTGTGATATTTTGAATACTAGTCTGTGCAATCTAGAATTCTAGATACTTAGCAGACTTGGATATTAGTTCATACATTTTAGATATTAGTTAGTATATGCTAACGAAATTTCAAGTTAGCAGAATAACTAAGCTGCCATGGTAGAGGCAGGAGAACCAACTCTGTTATGTAAGGACCAACTCAAACTAATTGAACTATAATAGTTGAAATTTCCAATCGAAACTACCCGTAAGACTGGGATTACGATCTTGTTAAGGCGTGCGAGGGTTACAGATTGGTCAATGCTCAATACACTGAAGTGACCATATTGATAACTTATCAACTTTAAGTGATATTTCACCTAAATTCTATTGAATTTCGTTTTTCTTATGAGTTATGACAAATGTGAATGCTACTTTGAAACGTTTGACCACTTACAATAACAAACTTTGGCCCCCAAACAAAGAATAAAGAAATGTGGATTATATCATCTTGTTCCAATTATCGGATAAGCTTTCAGTCTTCATTCACGCAATGATACGATACGAAGGGATGGATTTTATACCAACTTTACCATACCCAACAGAAATACGTATACGACGTCTCTGTAAACTGTATATTGTACAGACTACAGAGCTAGAGTAGCAGAGACGAGAATCGAGAGACGCCTCTTTTGACCTCAGCCAAAAAGCTCTTCTCCGCCGTTAAACTTAACGGCGCCCCGTCACCGAACCCGACCGGCCTCATCTGGTGTAGGTCTCACTGTTGTTTGTCCGTCTCTTTAAACACCTTCCGTTTTCCTCTTCCCTTCCTTCTTCCCTTTCTCTTTCTCTCTCTCTCACAAATTGGGGATCGAATGTTCAGGTCTCTGTGCTCGGCGGATTTCAAGCTCCCTCCTTTAGGTAATTCTCGAATCTCTGGCGATTACCCTTTTCAGGCTTTTAGGGTTTGGGTTGATTAGATTGGTTTCCGAATCTCTTTGCCACTCCTTTTTTTTTTTTTTGCCGTATTCTTGGAGCGTTTCCCTGATTGGACTCTAGGTGATATGTTAATATGCTGTTGGTTGTCCCTCCACCGCTTGATTTTGGTGTGCTTGCTCTCTGATTGTTTACTCAGTTAATCGAATGGCCTTCTGGGTTTTCTATCTCTCCAAAGTTTGTAGCTTTGGACATAATGTATTATTTTTCCCTGTGAACAAGAATGAGACTGGTAGCTTGGGTTTATGTTTTTGGGTTATCTTGGAATTCATAATCTACTGTGGTCTGAGCCAGCTGATTGCCTGCTGGAGAGTTTTTCATATTGTCTGAGCAGAGCTGATGTTCTGTTGCTTCACAAGAATGTGCCATGGCTACAATTTTAGCTGTTCAGTTAATGTTTTCGTGGATTCTTTATCTGATCTTTGTTTCTCTTTGGCTTGTTCCTGGCTAGGTTCTTGATGTACTTGATGTTGTTTTCTTCTGGTTTTTGAATTCCCATATGAGCTGGGGAAGTTGTGGGTATTTGAAACCATGAAGAGGTTGATAAGCTGCTTGTTTGGGTTCGTTGACTGATTGAGGGCTTTGTTTTTGTGGGTCGCATCTGATTTTGTAAAGATGTCAGTGACCTTCTGACGTGGTCCTGGGATTTTAAGAATCAAGGCCCTCAAAAAGGAAAAATTGGAAACAAAGAGAAGAGAGAAATGGGGGAAGCTCTCATAACGACATTGTCTATGGAGAATTATCACCCTTCTACACTTTTGTCAATGGATTCTGGTTCCTTAACCCACGATGAATTGGAGAGAGAGCTGAATCGGCCTTTGATTCTATCAAGGCCACCTGATATCAATCTTCCAGTATCATCTGAGCCACCTTCCCCTTCTCTCCTGAATTGGAATGATTCATGTGACATCTTGGATCTGGGTCATCCTCCTCCAGTTTATGAGGTTGAGACTACCGTCACTGTGCCCAAAGCTTCGAAGAAATGTACAAAGAGGCTCGACAGTATTTGGGGCGCTTGGTTCTTCTTTACCTTCTATTTCAAGCCAGTTTTGAATGAGAAGTCAAAGTCCAAGATAATAAAGGATAGCAATGGCGTCTCTGGGTATGAGAAGTCAGATCTCTACCTCGATGCATTCTTGGTGCAGCACGATATGGAAAATATGTACATGTGGGTTTTCAAGGATAGGCCTGACAATGCTTTGGGTAAGATGCAGTTGCGGAGTTACATGAATGGGCACTCGCGTCAAGGGGAGCGCCCATTTCCATTCAGTGTTGACAAGGGCTTTGTCCGGTCTCACAGGATGCAGAGGAAGCATTACAGGGGTCTGTCTAACCCGCAGTGCCTTCATGGTATCGAAGTTGTGCGCACACCAAATCTCACGAATCTTGAAGAGGAAGAAAGGAAAAGGTGGGTAGAGCTCACGGGGCGTGACATAAATTTCTCCATCCCTCCTGAAGCAAGTGACTTTGGGTCTTGGAGGACACTACCCAATACAGAGTTTGAGCTCGAGCGTCCCCCTCTGCCATTGAAGATTAATGGGCATTTCCATCCAAGAAAATTGCTTAATGGTACTGGCTTGAATCTTTCTTCTCAGACTTCTGACCATAGTGGTGAAGTGATGGACCTCTCTCCGATTTGCAATAATAAAAGGAAGAAAGACTATTCACCTCATGCAAATGAGGATGACTGTTTGCATAACAGTAATGCTCATCTCGAGAGGGTAGACATGAACATCCATCCGACTGAACCAGCATGGCTCAACGACTTCAGCGGGGTGATGAAAAATGTCTATGGTCCTGTTACGGCCGCAAAAACCATATACGAAGACGAAGAAGCATTCTTGATCGTTGTCAGCTTGCCCTTTGCAGACCTGGAAAGGGTGAAAGTCACCTGGAGGAACACCAACAGTCACGGAATAGTGAAGATATCTTGTGTAAGTACTGCACGCATGCCATTTATTAAACGGCATGATAGGACGTTTAAACTGACAGATCCAACTCCGGAGCACTGCCCACCTGGGGAGTTCGTAAGGGAGATTCCCCTCCCGAACCGCATTCCTGAAGATGCTAAACTAGAAGCCTATCGCGATGAGACGGGGACGATGCTGGAGATCATTGTGCCTAAACATCGCGTGGGGCCAGAGGAACATGAGGTCCGTGTGTGTCTTCGCCCTTCTCCTTTGAGCGAGCGATCCTTCATCGACTTGAAGGAAACATCAGGTTGAAGCTCTCTGGACTGGTGGGGGGAATGCTAGAATTTGTCGGTGGGTTCTTCTGTTTACTGTAAGGGGAGAATTCATACAAATAGTATTTGGCACTTTTGTTCTAGCGTATTATCGTTGCTCTTTTCCGTTTTCCTTTCGTCCTTTTTTCCTGGGTTCCAGTCTGTAGATTGATACATGAATCCTCTATGTTTCTATAATTGGTGGGTAATTTAGCTGGTGTTTCATTGTCGCAATACACAGGGAGCATCTTCCATTTCCCAAAGGGAAGGAATGAATAGAAAACTGCAATAACTGTCGGTGTTAGCTCTTGCATCATTCAACTTTCCTGTTGCTATATAGCTGTGTAAATTTGTTTCAGGGATAGACTATATAGCATATCCGACTGCGTCAGTTGTATAACCAGTTCCTTCTCGTACTCTAGAGTCTAGCCAATCCAGTGAGTTGCTGAGTTTTCATTCTTCTGACGACAATCAAAGCATGTCTCCAGCTCTGCTTTCAGCTTGGGCGCATCCCCAATGGAGTGCTCTTGTTCGAAAACCAGTCCTCAATGGAGTGCCCTTGGCCGCATACTCCATGACATCCGAAGTATTTTCATCTACAACCACATTTGTGTTATGGCCGTTGGTTTGCGACAGTTCCGTTTCAAAGCTGCGCGCTTCAACACTGAGACATGGTTGTCTCTATCTGCGGCTTAAACGTGGTCCAGGAATTACAGGCTATTCAACTTCACCATTTGACGACTTCATGACTTAACGTTGTTCTTCCTCGGGCAACGGCTACCGTTGTTTTTCTAAAAACAAGTTTGTACTACTGTTCGCATCAGTTTGCGCTACTGTGTTTTTGCTCTGATTTAAGCGGTCTGATTTTAGCCGGAATGACTTTGCTGGTTCGATGGATTCCATTTCTCCATTTCCCAGCCGATTGCAAGGGTTTTGCATATATTATCGAAATTAGAGAGAAAAGTTAATCTTGAAGTGGCCAGATCAAGAATGCCGAAATGAGAATGACAAATGTACTACTTAAATTGCATAAAAAACAAAACAAGCAAGCCATAAGCTTGCATCCCGACCAACAGACAATAGAGCAAATTAAACCAGAAAAAAAAAGGCACAGTCCAAACATCCACTACCATCGTCTCCAACAACTATAAAACCGAATCAACTTAGTCCACTTCTTCAATCTTAGGGCCAGCTCCACTGCCACCGGAAGCCGGAACATCATCATCCTCGTCCATGCCACCACCAGGCATGCCAGGGCCGCCACCTGCAGAGTACATCTTGGCAATGATCGGGTTGCAGATGCCTTCGAGCTCCTTCATCTTGTCCTCAAACTCGTCAGTCTCCGCCAGCTGGTTGTTGTCCAGCCACTGGATGGCCTTGTCGATGGCATCCTCGATCTTGCTCTTGTCGGCAGCGTCGAGCTTGGCAGCGATCTTCTCGTCCTTGACGGTGTTCCTCATGTTGTAAGCGTAGTTCTCCAAGGCGTTCTTGGCCTCCACCTTCTTCTTGTGCTCTTCGTCTTCGGACTTGTACTTCTCCGCCTCCTGAACCATCTTCTCAATCTCGTCCTTGGACAACCTCCCCTTGTCGTTGGTGATGGTGATCTTGTTCTTCTGCCCCGTGGTCTTGTCCTCGGCCGAGACGTTCAGGATACCGTTGGCGTCGATGTCGAAGCAGACGGTGATTTGGGGTACTCCTCTTGGGGCAGGGGGGATGCCAGACAGCTCGAACTTGCCGAGCAAGTTGTTGTCCTTGGTTCTGGCCCTCTCACCCTCAAAGACCTGGATCAACACACCGGGTTGGTTGTCGGAGTAAGTAGAGAAGACTTGTTCCTTCTTTGTTGGGATGGTGGTGTTCCTCGGGATCAAAACAGTCATGACACCACCAGCAGTCTCGAGCCCGAGAGAAAGAGGAGTGACATCCAACAGAAGAAGATCCTGCACCTTCTCGTTGCCTTCACCGCTCAAGATGGCAGCTTGCACTGCTGCACCATAAGCAACAGCCTCGTCAGGGTTGATGCTTTTGCAGAGCTCCTTCCCGTTGAAGAAGTCCTGAAGCAACTGCTGCACCTTGGGAATCCTGGTGGATCCACCGACGAGAACGACATCATGAATGGCGCTCTTGTCCATCTTGGCGTCCCTCAAACACTTCTCCACTGGCTCCATGCACTTCCTGAAGAGATCCATGTTGAGCTCCTCGAATCTGGCACGGGTGATGGTGGAGTAGAAATCAATACCCTCATATAGAGAGTCAATCTCGATGGTGGTCTGGGCAGTGGATGAAAGGGTTCTCTTCGCCCTCTCGCAAGCAGTCCTCAACCTCCTGAGGGCCCTTGGGTTCCCGCTGATATCCTTCTTGTTCTTCCTCTTAAACTCCTGAACAAAATGATTCACCAATCTGTTGTCAAAATCCTCACCACCAAGGTGAGTGTCTCCCGCAGTCGCCTTCACTTCAAAGATACCCTCCTCGATGGTCAGCAAGGAAACATCAAAAGTACCACCACCAAGGTCAAAGATCAGAACATTCTTCTCCCCAACACTCGTAGCCTTCTTGTCAAGACCATAGGCAATAGCAGCAGCAGTAGGCTCATTGATGATTCGCATAACATTGAGGCCAGCAATGACTCCTGCATCCTTGGTAGCCTGCCTCTGGGAATCATTGAAGTAAGCAGGAACTGTCACGACAGCATTCTTAATGGTGGTACCTAGATACGCCTCAGCAATCTCCCGCATCTTAATAAGCACCATGGAAGAGATCTCTTCTGCAGCGAAGGTCTTCTCTTCACCTTTGTAATTGACCACAATCATGGGCTTCTCCGCAGGACCAGGGATCACCTTGAAAGGCCATAGCTTCATGTCGCTCTGGACAGAGGGGTCGCTGATCCTCCTCCCAATCAACCTCTTCGCATCTGTCGCCCAAAATTACCACAAAACAGTAAGCAATCCGCGAAGTTTCACCATTTACCACACTAAACCCTAACCAAATCACCAACATCATGCCAAATTGAGAAGAGAGCTAAACAGCGACACATAACCCCTAAACCAAAACACCTACCATGCAATTGCCCATTTATAGTTCTGCACCTACAGGTAACTAAATTTTCAGATGCAAAATTCGATCTACAGACTACGGCAGCAGGAGTAACAACAACTTGACGCAGGAGATCATATTTACTTCCCTAGAGCAGTTGAACGAAACTAACTAGCAGATCGACGAACCCTAGACGTCCGAAAAACACAAAAAAATCAAACAATTGAATAGAGAAACAGCAGGAGAATTCGGCTCAGAAGGAAGAGCTTACCGAAGACGGTGTTGGTGGGGTTCATGGCGACCTGGTTCTTAGCGGCGTCGCCGATCAACCGCTCGGTGTCGGTGAAAGCAACATAGGACGGAGTCGTCCTGTTGCCCTGATCGTTGGCGATGATCTCCACTCTGTCGTGCTGCCATACTCCGACGCAGGAGTACGTGGTACCGAGGTCGATACCGATAGCAGGACCTTCACCTTTCGCCATATCTTCGCCGGAGGAAAAAAGAATCGAACAAAACGTAGAGAGATCGTAGGGTTTTCGACGGATTTTTTTTTGGCTTCTGTTAGATTCAGGTACTAACAATATTGAGGAACTGCGGCGAAGAGGAGAGGAGGTTTTATATGCCGGGGAAGCGTAGTGGGGAAGGCGGAATAGCGCGGGAGTTCGAGAACGTTCTGGAGAAATTGTGGCCGTTGGATGGGAGATGGACGGTGGGGGATGAGTGTCAGTTTCCAAGTCGGACAGGGGGTAAAATAGGAATATTGATGGTTGTTTGGGGTTCTAGTTTCTTCGGGAGAGTTCCCTTACTGGGCCGACGCGGTGAAGGTGTAACGGAAACATATTCCGGCCAGCCAGCCAGCACCGCCCACGTCGCCATAATTTTCGCACTTAAATCATTCGTCGCGCGTGAACTGTGAATAAAAAGACAATGTGGCGCGTGTGTGGATAAAGGGTTTAAACATTTTGGGTTGAAGCCCAATGGAGGGAAACAAAGGGACTACAAGATTAATGCAGTTCAGGCCCACATAAATGAGATCCAAAACTAACCTATAACAATGCAAGCGAATCAAGCCCAACTGTAAGAATAACACAGTCGCCAAGTACCAGGATTATCACAAGGGTTTGAAATCTCTTGAGCTTCAAATCTTCACATGGATGGATTTGAAATCCATGAGACTTTGGGGTCTCCCACACCATTAATGGATATTATTGAAAATTCTCGTTTTTAAATAATTCCGTATAGATGTTTTTACCAGATAATAACATTTTCCGTCATTTATTCTTAATGACTCGCACATTTTAAATCCCCTCATTTTAACCATTACATAATGATTTTATGTAGCACCCTAATAAGGGACAAGTGGTGAAGTCAAAAACCTTAATGAGGCGGCCAAGAAATTTATATTTGTGGGTTCTTAAGCATGGACACTAGAGAGGACAGAGGAGGGCTGGAGCCTTACCAAATACAGTATGTTTTGCAATTCTGATACAAGTTTTACAAGTAAATTCATCAAAGTTGAGTGGGCCTATAGCCCCTCGTGGATACAATGTGGCTCTGCCACTGACGGGGACACATAAGTAGATCAGCACATGGGAGTGACTAGTAAATCAGTGAGTGCATCCTTGGTGACGGTGTCCGACAAAGTATAGCTATCATAATCCTGGTATATCACATCCGTCGTCCGTCCTAGACCAAGGATCATGGAAAGCACTTCGCCAGACACAAATTCAGGCAGATTGAGACTCTCCTGGTTTATATCCTTCCTGTCGGTGTCCATCATTTCCGTCAATGCATCAACTGCTTCATTTTTCGACACGTCGTACTGGTTCATGTAACATTCAACTGATGACGCGACATGTCCTCTTTCTTGCTCGAACTGCATGCACACCAACATTATATCTCAAGGTATGGTTCAAACCACCGACAATTGTTGGAGTAATCACGCACGTACCTCATGTGAAACGACGTCGTTGCCTAGGCGTCCGAGATCGGATACATCAACTAAAATTTTGGGGTCCTGGAATAACCAATCGAACACTTCCACGGGTGCCTTTTCACCCATCCCACACAGGGACGCACATATAAGCAAGTGGTAGGTAGATGAATATACACCGTTGCGCCTATAATCCTCCACACTCGGCACCTCCCTGTTGGCATACCACCTTGCTTCTGCAAGGTATGCCCTCGTCAGATTCTTTTCCTGCGACGATTATGCAAATACGAGTAAGAATTGTTGAATTGTGCCATCTTTTATCTTAATATTGTTTTCTAATATGATTGTGTACATGAATTTTGTCTAGAAAGTTTATAATATAAAACAAAACTACTAGATCATTACCGCTTGTTTCAAATACTCGTAACAGTATGACCTGCCTTCCGCAGTAGTAATTGTGCCTATTTCGTCAACGACACCCATAACCGCTTCAAAAAACACTTTCATGTAACACGGGAGATCCTTCATGCTCGTGTCCCATCTATAATCATGCATGATGCCATGAGGATCAGTTTGGTTCATAGTCTCTAACAATGTGTTTGTTTTTTATATCCCGAAGATAATAAAATTTAATTAAGAACGAATGTGAATGAACAAGTTGGTCAGTATGCACTCTGTCAATAAAATGTCAATAAAAAGAAGATGAATATACTTGTAAAGACTATAAATGTTAAAGGAAACCTCAAGAAGATGATTTAGCAATAGTACGAGGATGATAATGTTCACCACATTCTAAATTCAAATCTAAAAGACCAACAAATCATCGCTTATCAAAAGAAAGAGATGTTGAAGCATAAAAACTAGATGATTAAGCAGCAAATAACCAGCAAGATAAATAAATTTCACCTCTTAATAGTAGTTGTGAATAACTCCAGCTCGTCAATATTGCCTTGCACATCATATATGTCATCAGTTACTGACGCAAGAACCAAAATTTTGGTGATAAACAATCTAGCTTGGGAAAATTTCGGTTCCCATATGGCTCCGAAAGCCCAATAGTAAATCTCCACCAATCTGTCTCGAGCAAAGCTTAGCTTTGCCGCAAAGTTCAGTCCAATCCACCACCTAAACATAGAGTTCAAATGATTGCTACTTACTTAGTTAGTTCATAGTTTCTTGCACAACTCAATACTCCATAGCAATAACAATAACAATAACAAATAGATCATATATAGAAATTTAGGAGGGGACGAGGAAGTACTTGGTAAGATGTCTAAGCTCTTGGTGGTACAAGTGCTGCACCACGTTCCAACTCAACTTGGCCAGGCTGAGCAGCACCGTTGGATCGTCGCGGCCGCCGCCAACTTCTCGCTCGTAGCAGGAGATGTAGAGCAGCTGTTCGTGCCTCGGCATGCACTTGGGCCCGTTCAGGGCCCGACCCACCCGCTCCCACCGGGCCCCGGCCCAATCATCATCCCCGTCTTTAGCGGCCTCCTCCATCTTGGACTTCAGCCCAGCCGCCGTGAATTCAATACCTTCTTCCAACATCTCCTCCCCTGCCCCTCGCAGTTGTGCAGCTTCGTGAAAACAGAGCATCCCTTCGACATCATCTCCCAGCTCTTTCTTAAAAATTTGCTTCCCGCCAACACCCGCCGTGAGGAATTTTCCGAACGTGTCGCTCGACACGTTGTAACCGCGACGACGGAGCAGCTTGAAATGGAGCGCAACGGTGGAGAGCTCGTGATCCTCTGCAGAAGAACGGTTTGACAGGTTTGGGTGAAGGTTGAAGACTTGACGGAGTTGGTCGTCGATTTGTGTTTCGAAATGGTATCCGATTCCGAGCCGCTGGATCGTATCAATTAGTTTCAATTTCTGGGACAGTTTGCCGTCTGACGTCGCGGATAGCATCATCGTCACATCTTGCTTTAGCGATTCAATCTGCTGGTTCCAGCTGCTGACTGACTGTGCGATATTTAGACAGAGAGAGGAAATTAAGCAGTGAAAATATGTATATCTTCTGGGTCTAGCTAACGAAATGTGTAGTAGTTGGTTTGGTTACCTCTTCAGAATGGAAGACATGGGTGATGAAGAAGTCTCCCCACACAGTTGGGTGGAATTCCGCCGTCCGGGGCTGATGCGCGGCTGGGCTAGTCGACCCGTTAGCTGCCATGGTAGTAGCAAAATCGCTGTCTTGTTTGCAGATTTCGAAGAGGGAGGATGGATGGATGAAGGAAGAAGCAATTGCCATCCCCTGTTTATATAGGCACTACTGCACATATGTCTTCACAGTTAGAGCTTCCACGGAATTGATATGTGCTCTTTCTTGCTAATTCGATTTTTTAGCAATTCACCTCATGTCACTTTCATTCACATACATACATCAATGGAATGGATTTGTACTTGCATATATAATTAAATATCATTTTTAAATTATAGATAAATAAACTAAAAAATAATATACATTCAAAAAATTTAGGCCTTTTTTACTTTCATATGCAATTGGTTTTACAATTACAAACACCCATGTCATTTCATTTTGCAATTGATAATGCAATACCATTGTAGATGCTTATAAGGATGTCTATAGAACCTGAATTCACCCTGCCCAACCAGCCTCATCCAGTGAAAATAGGTAAAAATTCAGTATTGACTGGTTCTGGTTTGAGTGTGAGTTCTAGTTTTTTTTTTTTAATTAACGGATTGGGTCGGGATTGACTTTCGTCAAAACCTAACCAGCATCCAAAAAGCAAAACGACTTTGTTTTGTATCTAATCCAAACAATATGGATTAATTAATTAATTAATTGATATTATTAATCTCTATGAAAAATATTAAACCTATTATTAGTCTTTATAGAGACATAAGTTTTTAAAATATTATCATGTATATGTTCGAAAAAATAACGTATAATTATTTATATTGAATCCACGAGTACTCATACACCCATCAAGTTGGGTTGAATTTTATTTTCGAAAATTCAATGACTGTTTTACCCAAAAAAAAATTTAATAAAAAGTTTGAATTTAAGAAACGGCCAACCAACCGTAACAGTTAGCAATTGCCAATTTGGCATCCCTGTCCGCAGCCCTCCAATTATTTTTTTTTTTTTGTTTTTTTATAACGCAGCCCTCCAATTATTTTTTTGTTTTTGTTTTTATAACGCAGCCCTCCAAATTGGACCATGATGAGATTTCATAAATGATAATTTGGCATTAACAGCCCGTCCTTTCATGATTTAATCTTTGAATTTGAGTGAGTTCAAAAAATTCAGTTATAAGAGGTGTGATTTAAAGGTTTTATTATCTTCTCTAGTTTTTAATCGGTTTTTATTTTCTTCGTTTTAATTTGGATTTCAATTTTTTTTTACAATGGAATGAGTTCGTGGTGAATGTGATTTACAAAATGAGATCCATTTTCAATATATTTTGACAAAAAAAAAATCATACCACTCGTTACCACCCAGTAACACATTCGTTTTAACTCGAATTCTGATTTTTTTTTTCACAGACGGAACAAAATCTTCTTTATCTATTGGACCCACAAATTTATGGGGAAAAACTACAGGACTATTAGTGATGGCATTGGGGCGGGACGGGGCAGGTACCTCAATACCCATGCCCCGCCCCACGCTACTACAGGTTAGGGCGGGTAAAACCCGCACAGGTACGGGGTGGAGCGGCTCGACCAACTCTTACATGTTATTTGAGAAAAACATACACAACTTTTATTTTTATGATAAAACGATGGGGAAAATTCTTTATAAATGAAAAATAATGATAATAGAATAGGTAATTGAATCTAACCAGTTGAAAGATCGACTCTAACTAGTTGAAGAAAAGTCAAAATAGTAGAAATATGTATAGATATTGTAAAAATTGAGGTATAATGGGCCAAGAACGGGCGGGGCGGCGCAGGGCGGTTCGGAAATAGATACACATACCCCGCCCCACGCTACTGCGGGTCGGGTAATACACCCCCATCGCGGGTCAAGTCGGGTAATACTTGCAGGGGGTTCAAATTACCATCACTAAGGACTATAACGTACCACTTCATATACCACCCTGATATATTGGTGGTAACTACTAACTAGTGGTACACAATGATTAATGTGGTAAATGAGAGTTCGTATATTTCTACTATCATGTACTTCAACGAATTTACAATATGTTACATTTATATCATGATGGGACACTTCCGTACCATGTGGTATGATCTCATGTAGTGCCAAGTACCACCAATCCACCATGGTATATATTAGGGGTGGCTATACGGTCCGGTCCGGTTAAATTGGCCCAAATTGATCCGGTCCAGTCCGGTCTTTTTGAAAATATAAGGACCGAAGATTGGATTGGATACAGTCCGGTCTTGATCCGGTCCGGTTTTGATCCGGTCCGGTCCCGATTCGGTCTTGATTTTACATTGAGATTGTGGGATTTGAGTGGCCTAAAGCCTTAAAGGGTGAGCAGTTGGTTAAGTTTTGTACTAAGTGCAAAGGTTTGTGACCGTTTATGCAAATTACCCTTAAGTTTTGGGTGTTGAGCTCTCTTATCCGGTCTTTATCCGGTTTTTTACCTCAAATCTAAGCCCAAAGATTGGATTGGATTGTTTACTATCCGGTCCCGGTCCGGTCTCGGTCCGGGTTATACGGTCCGGTTTCCGGTTTTTAATCCGGTCCCGGTCCAAATAGCCACCCCTAGTATATATTGGGAATGGATCATGTCAGTAAACTTATGGTGAGTAACCCGTTTACATCAGCATGACATCAACATCCTTCTCTGTCCTGGAAAGCCTTGAATTTTCCCCTCCTTAATCTTTGACGGACGATTTCTCACTCGTTTTAAGTCAAAAAAAAAAATTACACAGTTAGATAAGATTAATTGTGCTTTTCAAAATGATATCCACTTTGATATATTTTTCGAACAAAAAAAATTGACATATTTTTTATCAGTCTATACCATATGGTATTGACTGGTATTGAAATTAGAGCATACTTATGGTTTGAAAAGCGTACCATGGTGGTATGAACAAACTAAGACTGTAGGATGGTTGAATACATGATAGTAGAAATATATTAATTGTCATTTACGACTTTTAACATTGTGTACCATAAGATACCACCCCGTACCAGGGTGGTATTGTATGGTATTGTGTGGTATTTTTTGGTCCTGTAATTTGTTCACCCAGAAATTTGTAGATCCAATAGATGATGATGAACTCGTCCCTTCTATGCAAACATTTTAAAAAACGAAGAAAATACCATATGGTATGCAGTTGGTACCAAGAGGCCATAATTTGTTGTTCTAAAAAAATATTGAAAATTGATCTCATTTTGTAAAGCACGATGAACTCGTTCCACCTGTGCAAAAAAAATTAAAATCCGAGTTAAAACGAAAAAGATATGAGCCGATTAAAAAAGTTAGAGAAAATAAAAATGGTCTTTAATTCCCCATCCTTATATCTGAATTTTCTAAATAAATGGTACATATTTGATTATTGATGGATGCATAATCCATGGTTATGCACCCTATCTTGAGTCGTATATACTAGTACTAATTGTCTCAATTTTTTTTAAAAAAAATATATCAAAGTGGATATAATTTAGAAGAACACAATTTATCTTATTTATCTGTGCAAAAAAATTAAATTCTAACTTAAAACGAAAGAGATGTAGTACTTTAAAATTAAAGGGAAATGATTAGGAGTCTTCCGTATATAGTGATGTGGCGCTGATATGCTAGGTTATGGAAGAGTTATTGACTATGGGATTAAACGTATGATCAGTTCCCGCTCTTATGACGTTAGGTAACAAGACCATCTGAACAAAAATATTAATTTTTTATCGTGAAAAAATAGCTCAAGTTTCTCTTTCTGTTAGAAACGAAAAACTATACATATATTATTTCAAATGTTCCAATCTATGCTTTGTAACATTTTTTAACTACCATATTGTTCATTTTGTACCTTGTAAGCATGGTTTTGCTTTCAGACGCATCATTGTGACTTTTCAGAAGCTTATATTCATTGATGCACTGGTTTACAATGAACACATTTAACTTTAAAATTATTACGGTAACTTATCCATTTCACTCCAAAATTTGTTGTTAGTTGACATTGGATGTTTCTTATGAGTCTCAGATCTTTCCCATACTTTGTTTGTCGACGTGAGATTTGTCTTAAGGTGTTACCTACTACATCCCTTTTGAGATTCAACGTCCTCGTTGAGGTTGTACGACCATCACCCAACAACAACATTTTTTTTATTCTTAAAGACTCGCACATTTCAAATTCATCCATTCCAACAATCTCACGCTGGTTTGACGTACCAACCTACTAATGGGGGGAGGGGGCACGTAAGTAGATCAACGCATGGGAGTGACTAGCAAATCAGTGAGTGTATCCTTGGTGACGGTGTCCGACAGAGTATAGCTATCAAAATCCTGATACATGACATCGGTATCCCTTGCGAGACCAAGGAACATGGAGAGCACTTCGTTAGACACAAAGCCATGCAGGTTGTGACTCTCCTGGTTAATATCCTTCCTGTCAGTCTCCATCATTTTCTCCAATGCATCAACTGCTTCATCTTTTGACACGTTGTACTGATTCACGAAACATTCAACTGATGACGCGACATGTCCCCTTTTCTGGTCGAACTGCATGCATAACGTAAATATATTTAAAAGCACGGTTCATCCCAATATATATAATAGTTGCTGTAATCGCTATCCAGTAATCGCGAACATACATACGTACCTCATGTGAAACGACGTCGTCGCTTAAGCGTCCGAGATCGGATACAGCAACTAAAATTTTGGGATCTTGAAACAACCAATCGAACACTTCTAATGGTGCCTTTTCACCCATCCCGCAAAGGGAAGCACATATAATCAAAGGGTAGGTAGCAGTATATACACCATTGCGCCTATAATCCTCCACACTCGGCACCTCTCCGTTGGCGTACCACCTTGCTTCCGCAAGGTATGCCCTCATCTGATTCTTTTCCTGTGAAGGTTATGCAAATACCATATGAATTATTCAATTTATGACGTATGTGATTATTTTGTTAGTTAGTTAGTTCCTATTTTTCAAATTGCCGAGAGAAAGTCAATAACAACGTTTATATATTTTTTTTTATTAATATGGGTTGTGTGAAATGAATTTTATCTAGAAAATTTATAATATAAGACGACAAGATCTTTACCGCTTCCTTCAGATACTCAGAACAATATGATCTGCCTTCCGTGGTAGTAATTGTGCATATTTCGTTAACGACACCAACAATTGCCTCAAAAAACACTTTCATGTAATCTGGGAGATCCTTCATACTCGTGTCCCATCTGTATTCACGCATAATACCGTTTGAGATCAGTTTGGCGGCTTGACTTAGTGATAATAAGATGATGATAATATTCACGCCAGATTCTTAGTTCAAATCTCGAAGATAACCATCATCACTTATGGAAGAAGAAAAAAAGAGAGATGTTTGAGGACTAGACTTGTAATTGAATAGCCAACAACCATCGAGATAATTAAATTTCACCTCTCAACCGTGGTCGTGAAAAGCTCGAGCTCATCAATTTCGCCACGCACATCATATATGTCGTCAGCCACTGACGTAAGAACCAAAATTTTGGTGACAAAGCATCTGGCCCTCGAAAATTTCGGTTCCCATATGGCTCCGAAAGCCCAGTAGTAAATTTCCACCAATCTGTCTCGAGCAAAGCTTAGCTTTGCCGCAAAGTCCAATCCAATCCACCACCTAAACATGAATTCAAAACGATTAGTAATTAGTTCTTAGTTCCTTGCACAGCTCAAATATTCCATAGCAATAGCGAGAACAAAATGGATCATATAAAAATTTAGGGAGGGACGACGAAAAGTACTCGGTAAGATGTCTTAGCTCTTGGTGGTACAAATGTTGCACCACGTTCCAACTCAACTTGGCCAGGCTGAGCAGCACCGCTGAATCGCGGCCGCCGCCGCCAACTTCTCGTTCGTAGCAGGAGATGTAGAGCAGCTGTTCATGCCTCGTCACGCACTTGGGCCCGTTCAGAGCCCGGCCCACCCGCTCCCAAAGAGGCAGGGTCTGGGCCTGGGCCCAATTATCACCCCCGTCGCTAGCGGCCTGCATCTTGGACTTCAGCCCAGCCGTTGTGAATCCAATAGCTTCTTCCAACATCTCCTCCCCTGCCCCTCGCAGTTGTGCAGCTTCGTGAAAACAGAGCATCCCTTCGACATCATCTCCCAGCTCTTTCTTAAAAATTTGCTTCCCGCCAACACCCGCCGTGAGGAATTTGCTGAACGTGTCGCTTGACACGTTGTAACCGCGACGACGGAGCAGCTTGAAATGGAGCGCTGCGGCGGAGAGCTCTGCAGAACTGTTTGACAGGTTTGGATAAAGGTCAAAGACTTGACGGAGCTGGTCGTCGATTTCTGCTTCGAAATGGTAGCCGATTCCGAGCCGCTCGATCGTATCGATTAGGTTCAACTTTTGGGACAGTTTGCCGTCGGTTGCGGATAGCATCACCGTCACCTCTTCCTTCAGCGATTCAATCTGCTGGTTCCAGCCGCTAACCGACTGCCCAGAGGCGAAAGAAAACCGGTTTATACTTAATCTAACCAGAAAAGAAAAGGTTACATTATGTATCTGATGGATCTAGGTAGCGAATGTGTAACTTGATTACCTCTTCGGAATGGAAGACATGGGTGATGAAGAAGTCTCCCCATACGGTCGGGTGGAATTCTGCCGTCCGGGGCTCATGCGCAGTTGGGTAAGTCGACCGGCCGTCAGCTGCCATGCTTAGCTAGTCGCTATCTTGTTTGCAGATTTTGAAGAGAATTGATTGATTGACGGATGAAGGAAGAACCAATAGACATCCCCTGTTTATAGGGCTGGACAATCGGTTACCGGTTAGCAGTTAACCGATCGGTTATCCCCTAACTGAAAACCGAGATAACTAAAAACCAGTCGGTATTTGGAGGGATGGGCGAGGTGATTTTGGTCTTGGGAGCAGCTCGGTTAACCGAAAACCGAGAAAACCGAAGTATTAAGGCCTCGTTCGGTGGGTGGTCGGTAGGTGTGGTTGGTGGTTTGGTTTAACCAAGGTTGTCAAACCGGTTTATGCCAGTGTGCCGGTTTAGCAAGTGGAATGGTTCAACCGGTGGTACATACCGGTTTGTGTCGGTTCATGCCGGTCAATATTACAAATAAAATTATAAATACTCATATTTAAACATGACATTTAACGTCAATACCTAAACATTTGGAAAAAATCCCAGAATACTCTAATTATTAAAAAAAATTCCCTAAATACAGTACTTATAAACTTATTTCCCAAAGTACAGCAGTTTCAACATCACTGTCGTAGACAAAGACAGTGATTATGATCACCGCTTAAGTCTAAAACAGGGAAGCAACGGGGAAGGTATCACCGCTCTTAACGACAGTGGGGAACTGATCACCGCTTTTCAAAACAACGGGGAAGGTATCACCGCTGCCGTCAAAAACGGTGATTGCCTCACCGCTGTTGTGCAAAACGGTGATATTTTTCCACGTTTTAGAGCCCTGGTAGGTGGAAAATTAGGTCACAGCGACCTAGCTATCACCGTTTTGGACAAAAGCGGTGATATGTTCACCGCAATTGTCCACAGCGGTGATTAGCTGACATTTTTCCTTATAAATTCCGACCCCGACTTCCCTCCTTCTGCCTTACAGCAAAGTAGTACAAAAATTAGTGTTTTTGTGGTCGTTTTCTCAGCTGGTTTAGTCATTAACGGTGAAGTGCCCGCGCGCGTCCACGTCAGCGATCCGCGCCACTTCACCGCTTTTGATACCAACGGGGAAGATCTCTTCACCGCGTCCCTTATCAACGGTCATAGTATCCCCGTTGTTCTTGAAAGCGGGGATTCTTTCCCTGTTTTTCTCCTCAGCGGTGATAGCATCACTGCTTTTGTCAAAGGCGGTGATGGTATCATCGTTTAGACCAAAACGGTGATTATAATCACTATCTTTGTCTACAACAGTGATGTTGAAACTGCTGTACTTTGGGAAATAATTTTATAAGTACTGTATTTAGGGAATTTTTTTTAATAATTAGAGTATTCTGGAATTTTTTCCTAAACATTTATACTTGAATCCAACAAATAACATCAATATTTAACTTTTATACTCATAAAATAAATAATAAAATAATTTTTATCAATTAAATTATCTAAAATAAGGTCATTTTACTTAGAGATTCGTATATCGATCATGTCGGTCATACTGGTGGTGTCACGCCGGTTTTATGACCGGTACCGGTTGAACTCGGTACAACCGTTGGCACGCCAGCCGGCATGACAACCATGGATTTAACCAATAACCAATCGCTTGTTTTCGGTTATAACCGACCCGACCGACCCCATCCCTACCTGTTTATATAAGCATTGGGCATGTATGCTGCAGACGAAGTTAATTAACTAACTTTCATTAATAATTTGAATCTAATTAACTAGAATGTGAATGAACCCAAACCCACTGGTCCCCAATCCGGCCCAACCCGATCAAAACTGAGTATTGATCGGTTTCGAGTAAGGTGCAGGTTTTACCAGTTTTTTAAATTGGTGGGATCGGTTGGATTTGAACACTCATAAAGCAAAACAACGTCATTTTGTATCTAACCTGAACAATATGAATAAGTTACGGGTGATATTAGTCTTTATAAAAATATAAATAAAATAATATGGATACTATTATTAGTCTTTACAAATATATATGTTTAGAAAAAAATTCATAATATTACCATGCGAGTATTAGGAAAATTATTGTACGGTTATATTTGTGAACTCATGAATACCTATACACTTATAGTACCTATTGAATCTGAATCGCTATTCGTCGCCCTAAAATTCAAATTTTATCGCCCTAAAATACACCAAATTGACACTCTTATCCTTTAGCCCCAATTTATAACTAAAATCTAAATAAATAATCCCTTATCTGACCAGCCGCCGCCGAGCTCTGTCCTCCGGCCGCTCTTGTCGCTGTCAGATTCTTCTCTCTGACAGGTGCCCACCTCAACCCGACTGTCGCCGGTGTTCTGCTTCTACTGCCGGAGTCGATGAAGAAAATCTCCGGCTTGGTTGGATGTTGAGCAGGCACAGACACAATTTCCAGATCCTTAACTTCAGAAAGCTGTTACCCTTTAACGTCATCATCACCTACGTTTCGTAGCAGATCGTCAAGTCATGCTGCCTTTTTCCCACTTCCAAATTCTGAAACCATCACCGTCGGTCGGCGGAACCCGATGATTAGGCTCACTATTAATATTGGGTTGAAGTTGAATTGTGTATAGCTATAGAGCATCATCGGAGGCCCAAAAATGGGAGAGTTGAAGTGATGATATGGAAGAGAACACCATGGATTTCATATCATCGACTTGCAATTTAATGGATTTGACCTGCAAATTTTCTGGTCATACTTCCAGAACATACTTAGCTTCCCACCTCATCTTAGCTTCCCACCTCAACCTGGCCACCATCACTTCCCTATTGCTGCTGCCGGATTCCTCTGTTGGTACCGAGCAAGAGGAAGGACACGATTTTGTTTCTGATTCCAGGCACCATACGGGTTGAAAGACGAAAATTAAACTGAGGATATTTAAGTCATTTTAATAAATATTAGGGCGACAAATAAGGTGTTTTAGGGCGACGAATAGTAATGCCCTATTGAATTGGGTTGAATTTTTTCGTCGACAACTCAATAAGTATTTTACCAAAAATTTTATGAATGTACGCACTAAATTAGGTTTGAATTTAAGGAAACCGACCTAACCATAGTCATTACTATCCCTATTCGGCAGCCCTCCAAATTGGACTATGATGCGAGATCATAAATGATAATTTAGCATTGATAACCTAACATACAAATATGAAATATTCCATCTGCCAACGCAGTTTTGATGCCATGCATACATTGCTGAATTAGCTGACTGCATTGTCAGCAGTAGCGTCACCTTTTCGAGTTTTAATGGGGTTGTGTATCAGGGAAAGAACTCTTATTCTGAATTCCTGATGGATATTCTCAGTCTAGGGACATTCTTTCACGATCTTCTCCATCGCCAAATAATCCACAAGAAACAATTCACTGTGATGGCTCGTTTGGCAACAGAACTCTGAAAGCAACTTTCAAAATATTGTTTTTTTGGTAGAAGGAAGCAACATTCGGAATAGTTATTACTTATTACTAATTTTAGTGGACAAATCTGTGAAGGAAAAACTGACATGGTAATTTGTTCTTATCCCGGTTGAAGTCGAGACACGCAAAAAAAAAAAAAAAATGAGGACCAAAACAAAACCATAAAATATATTTAGTTTATTTCAATTCGGTCAAATCCAAATTCAGTTCCGGTCAATTTTCTTCATACTTAAAAATAATTTATAGGATCAAAACTGAATAAAAAATATATACGATCCTATCCGACTCGGTCCAAATATCAATTCGATACAATTTGTCCCCCATGTGAACCTGATCGTTGTCTATCCTTACTCAAAGGTCAATCTATTGACCGTTTATAAGTAACGATCAAAATTGATAAAGTTAATATAATAGATGAAAGTTTGGGATAAAATCGTACTATTTAATAATTTACTACGGAAATGAGTCAATGACACATTTTAACATTGGGTACACGCTACAGATAGTGCTACACTCGTCAATCCAGGACTCAAATTGTGACGATCCTAGCCCAATCTTACGGGCCGCCTTGTCAGCGTAGTAACCTACTAACCCAACCCAATATCTTCATTCCTAAGCCCAGTTCCATAAACCGCGTAACAAAATTTGTCCGGCCCAAAAAAAAATATTCTTTTCCCCCCCGAATGGCCGGACGGCGAAAGCACCACCGCAGGCGCACAAGAATAGTTCAAAGACAGAGAAGAAGACAGAGAAGAGTGACGATCGCCGTCGACCCAAAGAGTTCCATCCAATTGTGGATGTCAACTTCGTGATCTCAGCCGAATTGGGGGAAACCCTCTCGCCAGCGACGACAAAACTCCTCCCGAATCTCGAATTCACCGCCGAAACAATTTTTAATCCCTAATTGATCTTGTAACCTAAAATGGCTTCTTCCTCTTCTTCCAGGCAGAATCCGCTCCCCACCACCAGCCTCTCCTCCTCAATCTTTCCAACCACAATATGTCGTCTCCCGGCGTACCAACCGGCAGCGACCCCAACGGCGACTTCAGCACCAAGATCGCGATCCTCCTCGTCGGCGTCGGATCCGCCGCCCTCGTCGTCACGATCTACCACTAGGGATGGCAATGGGTCGGGTCGGGCGCGGATAGTTCATATCCGTTACCCTACCCATAGTAGTTCGGGTTTTACCCATACCCATACCCACATGTGAAACGGGTAGAAAATCATAACCATGCCCATACCCGTTCGGGTTTCGGGTATCCACGGTTATCCATGGGTAATAATTTCTCTTCATAACTCCAACAAATATGTTAACATTCACACGTATTCTCACATTACGTAAGAGGAAAAGTACGACAATTATTCACTAGAATGAAGAAAATTAATTAAAACTACACAATTTCATGAAAATATTATATTTATATGCTAAATATAAAAATGTTAGAGAAAAATAATGATTATTTCTAGAAAAAATACATAAGCATGTGTATAATCGGGCGGGTTCGGGTTGGATAGTGAGAAACCCATGCCCACCCATTACCCGCAATATCCGGGTTCGGATTTTACCCGTACCCACTAAATATCCCTCGGGTTCGGGTTTTATCCTACCCGATTAGGCCGGATTCGGGCGGATATCCACGGTAATGGATATTTTTGCCATCCCTATCTACCACTGCGTCGCCGTCGGGTGGTGCAACCGCAACCACTGGAGCGGGTTCGGGAACCAGCAGGGCGCGGGGCAGCAGCGGCAGCGGAGCCGCCGGTTCATGGCGGAGGTGCTGGAAGGGCAGAGCATGGAGAGCTCGACGGCGGAGCTGATCCCGGCGTACAAATTCTACAAAGGGATGGGGCTGATGAAGGAGGACGGCGGGACCTGCGCCATCTGCTTGTGCGAGTTCGAGGAAGGGGAGGAATTGAAGACGCTGCCGGAGTGTGTGCACTCGTTCCACGTTGGGTGTATCGATATGTGGCTGTATTCCCACTCCAATTGCCCGATGTGCCGGACCGACGCCGCGCCCTCGCCTCAGGTGTCGTTCCAGGAGGAGGAGGGCGACGGCGGCGCGGTGGAGGTCGGAGATCGGAACTCGGGGGTTACGTTGGAGGGTATTATTGTACATTCCCGGCCCGACGTGGTTATTCAGGTCCGATGATGAAGTTTTTGAAAATCCACATCGGTAATTACACGGATTGTGAATGTAATTAGCGATACAGCCTACTTGAATTGGATGCAGAATAAACATGGTCTCGATAGAGTATATCATTCTGAAAAACAATAGACACATGCGAGCAAAATAGGTACAACCGTACGAGAATTGAGCATCTATATTGTAAACTTTGACGATCCTGTCTAATCTATTATCTTGATTTACAATTTATCGGAATTAACAATATGGAACGACTTTTTCCCCCATCAACTTGTACTAAATTCAATTAAGTTTCTTAATGATTTACAATCAGTGTTGATATGCCGAAAGATAGAGGACATGTGCTAACAAGTGAAAATATCACACTCTCAAAAAGATTTTTCTCTCGTTTAGCGAGAGTCTAAGGGCGGCGGAAAAACCCTAGGGTTTTCCGGGTAGGATTAAGGTTTTCTCTCTCGATCTCTGTGCGGATTACTGATCTTTTGTGGAAAAGAAGTCTTTTTTGACATTGATTGTGAAAGCGGAGTTTGTGTCTGGCTATTTAAAGGGGAGGACATAAAGCGTTTTGCATCGAGGTAGTTTGGTTAGCAAGTCTTTACGAGTGAAAGTTGAGATTTTTTGCATAATGGAAGTAATGGAGGAAGCGATAAAGGACACGACTACAAGTAAGGAACCCCAGGCCACTGTGGATCTGGAGACACAACTGCACCAGATTACTCTGGAAGGTGAGGATGATGAACCGCTGGAGGTTGAAAACTTCGACGTCGATGTGCTCCGCATGGAGGGAGTACGCCGTCTGGGGTTGATTGGACGCCTCCTATCTGAAAAAAGAGCCAAACATCAAGTCAATGAAAGTTGCGTTAGCAAAGGCGTGGAAGCTACGCAAAGGTTTTCAGATCACAGAACTAGGTGACATGCTATTTGCTTTTCAATTCCTTGATATGGACGATAGGAATAAAGTCTGTTCTGGAGGACCTTGGCACTATGAGAATTCTCTTATCGTGTTCAAGGCAAGCACAACTATACAAAAGCCAAAGCCAGAGGACCTACATATGATTGATTTATGGATAAGAGTTGAAGGCTTACCGGCAGAATTAATAACACAGAAGATGGCGGAGAAGATTGCTACAAGATTTGGGGGGCTTGATTGGTTTGATAATGGAGTTGGAATGATGTGGGATGATTATATGCGATTGAGGGTGTATTTGTCGATAAATAACCCAGTATTAAACTGAACATATCAGGGAATTTAGTGGAGTACCCAGTAAAGTACGAGAAGCTGCCCATGTTTTGCTACTCATGTGGGCGAATTGGGCATCCCAAATGGAAATGCAAGATGGAGTCGAAGCCTGAAGTGGATCCTTTTGGATATGATTTAAGGGTGGCAGCACCTGGACCCAAAAATTGGCTCTCTTACACGACCAAAAAGGAAGATGCTGAAGTTTGGGCTGCCTTGAGGCAGAAGTTTGAAATGGAGAGCATTGCCTCTAATTCAGATCATGATATGGCTATGGAATATGAGGAAACTAAAGAAAGAGAGGAGGAGATACCAGCTCAGCAGCAGGGTAAAGGGGAGATACGAACAGGGGGGGATTGGAGTGAAACAGCAGGAGATACCTACTGAGGTTATACATACCCCTGCTCAGGTCATGAAACCATCTGTCAACATGGGGGAGAAGTGTGCTGGTGCTTTAAAAAAATTTGTGATGGCCAGTATAGAAGAAAGAAAGAATGGGAGGAGTACTGCCAGAGTTTGGCGAAGACAGGAACAGGGACATGTGAGGATGAAAACCGGGGTCCCTTTAACACCGCAAAACGACAAGCAACATCTCAAGATGATGGAGAAGAAGGGAAGGACACAAACTAGGACTGGCAAAGAAGTCAAAAACTTTACAGTTCACTAATACCCAACTCAATACATTGGATGTCGGAGTGGAGGAGTCTGCTGAAGAGCAGACCCGCCCAGCTCAATCAGTTATCTAAGCTACAATTGTCGGGGTTTGGGGAGCTCCCTGCAATTAAGAAGCTTGACCGTCTTATAAGACAAGAAAACCCCATAGTAGTTTTCTTAATGGAGACTAAGAAGCAAGACAAGGAATGGGAGGAGGTGGTAAAACAATTCCATGGGTACAAGGGTTATGGTATGGTCTCTAATAGAAGAGCATGAGGTTTAATCGTGCTATGGCAGGAGGATGTTCGTCTAGAACTGAAAGGAAGTGCCAAGAACTACATTGACATGAAAATAGAAGAAGATGGGTACTCATGGCGGCTGACTGGAGTTTATGGGTGGCCTGAGCAAGGGAAGAAGCATTTGACCTGGGATCTCCTTAGATATTTGAAATCCCTTACGGACCAGCCGTGGCTGTGTTGTGGGGATTTCAACCTAATCCAACACTATGCAGAGAAGAGAAGGAAACAACCAGCAAAGGGAGAGGAGATGGATGGTTTTAACAAAGCTCTAGAGGAATGCCAATTGGAGGATCTAGGTTTCTATGGAAAGCCCTATACTTGGGACAATAATCACAAGGATGAGACTTTCCTCGAGGAAAGACTGGACAAAATGATGGCAACCGAAGCATGGCGCAGCTATTACCCTGAAGCGGGGGTATATCATTTAAGATGATGTGGCTCGGACCACAATCCAATCCTATTGAAAACTAATGTCTTGGTGGAGGACGTGAAATGGGGCCACTATTGCAAGTTTGAAGCTTATTGGCAGGACCATGTAGAATGCAAGCAAGTGATAAAGGACAGTTGGGAAGCGAATGGATCTGATTCAATAATGGGAAGAATCAGGTTATGTGAAGAGAAGCTAAGGTATTGGAGCAAGCAGACTTTTGGAAGCCTAAAGGCCAGAAGAGTTAAAATAGAGAAGGCTCTCGAAAAGATTGATAAAATGCACAAAACTGAGGCTATCCTGGAGCAAAGAGTACTGGAGAGCGAGCTAGAAGAGATACTGCTTCAGGAGGAGTTGATCTGGAAGCAACGTTCCAGAAATGACTGGTTACGACAAGGAGATAAGAACACAAAGTTCTTTCACAGAAGAGCTTCAGAGAGAAGAGCTAAAAATATGATACGTAAGCTTAAGGATGTGGATGGAAGGATTTGTACAGGTCAGATAGAAGTGGCGAGGTGTATAGTGAGCTTCTATAAGCAACTATACACGTCTGATGTAGGAGCCGGATCCAGCACAATGATAGATGTTGTTCCACAAAAGGTTACATCAACGATGAATGCATAGCTATTAAAACCTTTCTAGAAGGAGGAAATTTGGGATGCTCTTAAAGTGATGGGACCACTAAAAGCTCCAAGAGCTTATGGTATGCCCAATCTATTTTTCCAAAAAATTGGGACATTTTGGGAGAAACAGTCACTACTGAGCTTCAAGGGTATCTGGAAGAGGGTCGTTTCCCACAAGAGCTAAATCACACCCTAATAGCTCTAATACCAAAGAAGAAGAGCCCTCAGACCCCAGTTGACTTTTTCCCCATCAGTCTGTGTAAGGTACTTTACAAAATACTATCTAAGGTGCTGGCTAATAGACTAAAACGGGTGTTGGATGAAGTAATAGTACCAAATCAGAGCGCTTTTGTGCTAGGCAGACTAATCACTGACAATGTGATGATAGCTTTTGAGTGTTTTCACTCGAGGAAAGCGAGAAAATCAGGAAGCAAGGGTTATGTGGCAGCTAAACTAGATATCACGAAAGCTTATGACAGGGTGGAGTGGCCTTTTTTGGAGGCCATTATGCTGAAACTAGGATTTGAGCCTAGATGGTTCAACTAATTATGACGTGCGTCACTACGGTCTCCTTTTCCACACTGGTTAATGGCCATCAAAAGGAGAGGTTCTACCCTAGAAGAGGGCTAAGGGAGGGGGATCCTATATCTTCCTACCTATTCTGGTTTGTAGTGGAAGGTCTTTCAGCCCTAATAACAAAGGCTGGGAGGAAGAAGCAGATTGAAGGACTGAAAGTAAAGAAGAATGCACCACAGATTTCTCATTTACTATTTGTTGATGATAACATTCTTTTTATGAGGGCAACTAAGGCTGAATGTGAAAAAGTGAAGGGAATCCTAAGTATATACGAAGCTGAATCAGGCTAGCAGGTTAATCTCACCAAGTCAGAACTATCTTTCAGTCCCAATGTGAGACAAGAAAGACGAAAGGAGCTGGCTGACATTCTGAATATGAAGATAGTGGACCATCATCAAAAGTACTTGGGGTTACCTACCATTATTGGAAGATCTAAAAAACAAGTTTTTGGCTATCTGGTAGATAGAGTGCGAGCTAAAGTGAAGGCCTGGAAGGGGAAGTTACTTTCTGTGGTGGGAAAGGAGGTTCTCATTAAATCTATAGCTCAGGCACAATTAACTTATGCCATGTCTGTGTTCCAGATTCCTACCAGTACCCTCAAGGAAGTAAAAAGAGTTGTAGCTCTGTTCTGGTGGGGGCAGCAGCAGGAGGAAGGGAAGACTCACTGGCTCAATTGGAGGGAAATTTGTAAACCAAAGAAGTTGGGGGAATGGGGTTCAAAAACCTACAGAGCTTCAACTTAGCTCTACTTGGAAAGCAACTATGGAGGATCATCCAGACTCCTAACACCCTGGTGGCTAAAGTGCTTAAAGCTAAGTATTTTGAGGATAGAAATCCTCTAGAGGCTGAAATTGGGAGAAACCCAAGTTGGATGTGGCGTGGCTTACTGGCAGCAAAGGACCTAGTGAAAAGAGGTATGAGGTGGCAACTGGGAAATGGTAACAAAATCAATATATGGCTAGACAAATGGGTGCCCCATAGCAGTTCCCTGCGAGTTACATCGCCAACATCACCATGGGAAAATTCTACCTCAGTGGCGGAGATAATTAACATGAATCGAGAAGTTGGCGAACAGATTTGCTCCAGAGACACTTTAACCCCACTGATACGGTGAACTTACAGAAAATTCCCATCCCACGGCAACCTATGGAAGATAAGTTGATATGGGACAAGGAAAAGACAGGGATATATACTGTAAAGTCAGCCTACAAGCTCTGGGAGGAAAGGAACATTGAAGAAGAAGGGGAATTCTACTCCCCTGTCAACTGGAAGAGGTTATGGAATCTACGAATCCCCCCAAAGGTTAAATTTTTTTGACTGGAGATGGCTAAAGAACAGTATTCCCACAGGAGTACACATTTTTGATCGAATGCAAAAAGGCAGTGAAGGGTGCCCCTTCTGCGACATCAGGAAGATGCAACAACACATTTTTTTAATGTGATTTCACGGGTATGGAGATTTAGCCCGATGAATTCCTACGTGGAGAGAGGGGAAGCACTTACCTCGGAAGAATGGTTCTGCGAGCTCCAGGAGACTGAATCTGATGAAATGCTTGGGGAGTTTCTGGTTGCTCTCTGGTTCGTTTGGGATCAACGGAATTGCCAGCTGTGAAACAAAAAGAAGTTAGAAGAATGGGAAGTCATACCGCGAGCGGGAGAATGGCTTCAAGATTACCTGGACAAGCAAGAACAACACCGATCGGCGGATCTTTCTAAACATTGGCGGCAGTCAACGACAAGGGCACCCGTGCAAATCAATGTCGACGCTGCGTGTTTTACCGATCGGGGAACGGGATGGGGAGTTGTGGCTCGGGATGAAGAAGGGGTTTTTAGGTTTGCGGCAGTGAAGAGATCGAGGGTCCAATGGAACCAGAAGAAGCGGAAGCCATGGCTATTGAATTTGGTCTGGAGCTGGATAGAAGGTTTGGGGTAAGGGAAATGGAGATTGTTTCGGATTGTTTGAGCGTGCTTCAGCAATTGCGAAGAGCAGAGGAGAGGGAGACAGAGATTGGGCTTATCTGCCAGGAGATCAAAGATAAGGCCCAAACAATGGAGTGGGTGGACTGGAGTTTTGCAGGCCGGGACAAGAACAAGCCAGCTCATTTTATGGCCCATTTAGAGTGTGAGTGAGATAATGAAGAGGTTTGGGCTGGCAGCCCACCTTATTCACTTGTACCTCTTCTCCAAGAGGATTCTATGGAACACCATGTGATTTCTATTTAAATAAATGAATGAAGGTGTCTATAATAAAAAAAGTAAAAATATCACGTTCTTGATCTTATTTATGAGTTTTAACGATATGATTTTGTCTTAATTTTTTTTATTATCACACTAGATCGTAATGTCATACCCATGAGACACTTGTGGATGCCATGTAGAAAAGTGACCCTATGTTCGAGAGGACTGAGGAAGGAGTGCCCTCCACTACAATTGTAATCTTTGTTAATACATTCGGTGCATGCATTTTTTTATATCTAGGTATGTTACACATATTCTCCTTGTTAATACAATCCAATGCTCGATCATTGAGGTGGCCGTTAAAGAATATTGGTACTTGTCATTCACAACAACGATCTCAATAAGACCCAAAAATATCAATTCAAATTTTGAATTTTTTCCCCATTTCGAATAATCCCAAACACATTATTTTGGCAAAAGGACATGACCTCTACCAAAATAAAGGGATAGAACTTCACAATCATAGGAAAAAAGAGGTAAAAGAAAGTGACTCACTCTAGTGTCAATAAAACCAACAACTCCACCTTGGCATTCAATGACGCATCACTATCCCTTCATTTGTGATCCCATGTGAGCTACCTCTTGCCAATGGTAAGCCCCAACAATTACCTATTCCTGAGACTCACATTCATATATGTTTTGATTCCTTCGACTCTTCCATTGCCAAATTTCTAAGTATTTATATGTGCAACCACCAATATTTATTTCCCGTTCTGTCTATCCCTTGAATTAACTAACCATATCCCATCCTTGTTTTCTGTGTGCAATTCAGCAAAACCCATGAAGACTGATATCTCCTCTGTTAAACAATTTGCTCGCCGCTGAATTCCTTGGCTTTGTCCACAACCTGTTCGATAATATGCCAAACTAAAGGTGAAAGACCACTTGTAATTGTCCTGCACCAATGTGGCTTGCTAGGTAGGGTTTACAGTCCTCGTGGAAAGGGCACATAGGAAAAAAAAAAAAAAAGAAGTGCTTCATAATCATGGCTGGGTCTTTGATTTTCACTTTTCAGGGTAAAAGAAAAGGGGTCCATTTTTCTGGATTGGGCTTTTAGGGATACAAAGTTTGAGTTTGGCAAATGGCAATTGTGTTGTGGTATCAGCTATGCTATGTGCCATGTTCATCAATTCATGCTGCCTTAGACCGAGCCAAGGCTTATGATTGCCGTCTGATCAGTATTCACTGAACATTACCACTTCATCTCTGTGGCCTTACTGTCATCAGGAAGCCTTTTTCTTTTCTAGTTTTCTTTTCCTTCTCATTCTCTTTCTTTAGTTTGTAGTTTGTACTGTTTAACTCCTTCCAAACTGGTCCTCTTCACTTCCCAAAGCTATTTTATGGTAAAACTTGCTGTTGGTTCTTGGGGTTCAGGTGAAAGCATCTCTTATGTAATAGCTTGGGAGAAAGATGAAGTCTTTGAGTAGTATAGGACTTGGGTTGAGCATAGTTTTTGGGTGCCTGTTACTAGCTCTAGTGGGTGAGCTTTACTACCTGCTTTGGTGGAAAAGGAGGTTCACAAACAGAAGAATGACTACTGGGAGGGATGGTTTAAGCAGCCCGGCCAAGGAATTGTTCTACATGTTCTGTCTCAAAAAGCCATCATCATCAAACCAGGAGCTGTGCTCGTCAGTGAGAATCACAGATGCTCTAGTGGTGAACAATGAGGTTCACCAAGCGAAGGAGTTTGTGTTCAAGCCATTTGGCGGGGATCATGAGAGCAGTAGTGATGATGTGGTTGAAGGTGAGCTCATGATGCTGAGCAATAACAGCCTTTCAGGCCCACCAAGGTTTCTGTTCACGATTGTTGAGGAGACCAGAGAAGATTTGGAATCTGAGGAAGCCAAGTCGAGAGCTGGTGGTGGTAAAGGGTCAAGAGGGAGAAGCTTGAGTGATTTGATGTTGACTGTGGAGACACCATATCTCACCCCTCTTGCTTCTCCACCATTCTTCACCCCTCCTCTCACTCCAATGGTGGATCCCATTTCCAGTGGTGGTAGCAATGGCAATAGCAACAGCAATAGTGACAACCAGATTGGTGGGTCATTCAGCCATGGCCAGTTGGAGACATCAGCTGAGGCCGAGTTCAACAAGTTAAGGTCTTCCCCACCTCCAAAGTTCAAGTTCTTGCAGGATGCAGAGGAAAAACTGCACAGGAGGAGAAGACTGGAAGAAGTTGACGATAAGGGGAAGTTGCAGATAATGAAAAGGGTTAATAGGAACCAGAAGATGGCTGAAAATTCAAAGCTTGTCCAAGGTGAAGAAGTAGATGGTCCTTTTATCACCATTATAGTGGACAAGTACAGAGACAGAGAGGTCAGTAGTGGTTCAATGTCACAGGTACTTCCTCTGCCTTCTTCACCATCATCCAGCAAAGGCAAAGCTCCATTTATGTCATGACTAGATTAGAGTGTTTCTTTTCTTTGTTAGTTCCTTGTTAATCTATCTTTTCTCTTTCCTTAACATGAGTGAAATTAGATCAGATTTGTTTTCTTCCCTATTCTTCCTGTTCCCATTGATGTATCAGTTTTAGGCCATCATCCTGGGATTTTAGTCTCTTAAACCTACTTCACATTTCTGGGATGCTTGAGAGTAGACTGTTCTGGGAAGGCAGACAAGAACAAGTGGGAGGGACCAGTTAACATTGGTATTATTTCACATAAATAAAAAAATATCTTGGCATCTGTCCTCCATTTGTCCCTTTGAGCTGTCTCTGATTCACTATGTGTAATCATTCTGGTGAGTGTGTGTGAATGAGTGGTGCAAATACAACTCCCTCACTATTGGGCTATAGGACCAAAAGGAAGGAGTAAAAAAGAAGAAAGTAACATTGAAAAAAGGTAAGTGTAGTGACAAGTACTACAAGCACAGTAATTTATTAGTGTTCTGTCAGCTTACTGTATGTTTCATATGTATGATGAACAAGGCGGTTTAGCATGGACTAATACCATCAGGTCGCTTTACATAATTTGCGTCGTTGAATGTGTGTGCTAACACCACACACATCCAACGACCCAACTGACCTCGCGAAATCGAAAAGCACTGGCAACATGGCCACATTTGATATTTGTGTTTGTATAGGAAGTGCTGATACTAATCTGTATCCAAAAAGGAAAGGAAAGAAGGGGGGAAAAGGTATTTCTCAAAGCAGGGAAGAGGGCCATCCATTCACTTTCTAGTCACTCTCCTACTGACCACAGAAATCATGATCATGATCATGATCAAAGACCACAACAGCATTTTATTAACTCTCACTTCACTTATTTCCCATTCTCATGTCCTAATCTTGCTGCACTATCTGCTGATATGCATGCTTAGTCATTGCAGCCTGGGCCACAACCATCCAAAGCAGCTCCACTAAGCTGCTGAAGCAAACTCAATCCAAACTGTTTGATGCAGTCGTCTGATCGACATCAAAGGGTATATTTGGAGCCGTGTGATCAACATCAGAGGGCCATCTTTCAGTCGGAGTCTCACCTCACGAAGATAATTATGCATCAGCAAGGAAGAAAGCGAGGTTCTTAGCGACATTCTGTGTCTGGGTTGTTTTGATTTTGGACATTTTCCTAAAGAACAAATTCCTCGTGAAGGTGTGTCCCCTTCCTGCCTCCGTGGTGGGTGGGGAATTCCTGTTGTGGCCGAAAGGCTTTTAGTTTTGCGCCATTTCTGCCTTTGTACATTGATTAACTAATTAAGTACCAAATGTAACCACTACATAAATCATTAACCAAAAGCCTTACTGTTTCTCTTCCAATTAATCAACCATTCACATTGTATTATACAACTGTTAATTTCAGGCATATACTGTATGCAGATTGGTAAATGTTCGTCATTTCGGTTCGCCAATGCCTAAGCATGGATCTTCCGAATTGTCAATGTACGTGCGATCTTGTGTTCTCCGGTAAAGCGATCTCAATTGAAAACAAAAACAAATCCAGCTAAAATTTAGTATGCTACACACATAATACAGTACAATTCTCCAGAATGGCCTATCATTGTTTCCCACATGCATGGTGGAAGGACGACCGAACTGTACTTCATGGTCTGGTATATTTTCTGGTTTATGTCTGCTGTCATTGAATTGGCAATGTTGGAACCTGACTGACACCTCTCTCTCCCTGCTTCTTCAGGGCATTTGGAGGGCAGAAGTAGCCAGGAGTGCTCTATTCTGTGGGTTTCTTTATGTGGCCAGTACAAAGCTGGAGTCACTTTCTCAAAGCAGAAGCAGCAGCCTCGGTTATCCCGAGCTCAACGCAGATCGAATTGAGGCCCGGTTCTTCCAAGAGGCTGAAGGCAATGAACCCGTAGTAGGAATGGTAGAGATCCGGTAGCTCATCTGGGAACTTAGAGAACCCGCCATACTGGTAAAAGAAGAAGAAAAAAAAAAATACAGGTAAGTAAAGCCAACACTTAACATGACCAAGTTGAGAGTAAAGAAAGTAGATCACACCAATCTCAAGCACAGCCAAACTTTAAAAAGCTGCAAAAAGAAAGAATAGTAAGCACCTCAGATTGGCAGGTGAGCAAAAATCCACGTAGAGCTTTCTCATCAATTAGTTTGCCGGCCCCCAAGATCTTCAAAACCGCCCCAACCCTGTACACAAGCAACAATCAGCGTTGCCAAGTCCAGGATATGGAACTCTTGTAGAGCATAGGCCATAGTGTGGAGTGGAACTTCCCAAAGGTACTTACCAGAATGCATAACAAGTGTCGCTCGGCTTATTTGATCTACCTTGAAATCCACCATCGGATGCTTGCCTCTGAAGCAAACAAGAATAACATTTACAACCTTATTACAGCATCAATAAACTTTGTCTCAGCTGATTATCTAATGTCTAGTATCTAAGTCCTAAACTGTCTGAGAGGTTATATACTAGTATACAAACCTGTAAGCACCACTCCAATAATAGTGGAATGTCCAGTATGGAAGAACTTGCACGGCTGGACAAGGGATCAACTCCAATGGATCCCATTAGTTGAAGGGATGCAACAGCACAATAAGTTCCACCACCTGTCCACTAAAATAGATTATTTGTAATTAAGTTGGGAAGAACCAAGCTCATGAGACCTCAGAGTCTGTATATGCAACTTAAGATATTATTCGTATCATGTAGATAACTATTGACAATATTGCTGAGGTCAACTACAAAATGACGAATAAGCAGGAAAATAAATGCAAGACTGTTTTTACAAGGTAGCTCTGAACGAAATTCGCCAACTAGAACTATTTACACTCACCATGAGATTCGGCACCTGGAGTCATCCCAAAGCCACCATCGTAAGCCTAAATGAAAAGTATACCAAGTGCATAAGCGCATGAAGCAGCGAATTTTCATTCAAACCATAAACATGCAGTCATCACTCAATGTTGATCAAGCCGCACCAAGTTGCAAAGGGAGTCATGCTTAGGTTCATAGGTGCACGCATGAAACACAGGATAGCCTCAGAGAAGGCAGGTACTAACAAGTAATAAGATAATCCATTTAATATAAGTATACTACAATACTATAGATTTCAGGTTATAACTAACCCAAATTCAATTCTTGCTCTATATGCTGCAGTACTTTAGCATAAAACTTTGTCTGTTTACTGTAAGTAACAAAACCTATTGGAAGTTTACATGCTCTACTCATACAAGATCATAAAATTTTATGTTTATCAACTTTTAGAATGATCTCTCGTTTTTTGTATCACTGTTGACCCATCTAGCTAAAATGTAAGCAATTAACAGATATATCACAAGAAAGGAAAGAAACAAGAAAGTCCAAAACGTGAACACTCGGCCCATCTGTACAGGGGAGAACCTTCTCCCTTAGGAACATTTCTGGATGCCAGGCCTGGAATGCCTTGGGCTGACCACTTTAACATTTCAGAAATCAGAGACTACTGAGGTAAGAATAAAAAGGAAAGGTTAGTAGAGAATAATGGCACAACCTTGCATTTTAAGATGTATTCAGTGGCTTTATCCCTGTCCATTCCACTCCAATCATCCAACATAAAGCAGATGGCGGCTGAAACATTACTCATTTGTAAGAATTACATATTTAAAGAGGTCCAAGAACTTATACAGCATTTGATTCCATTACCAGCACAGTAAATAAACCGAAGATCTGTCTCTGCCCCAATATGAATTGGAAGAAAACTGAAAAAAAAGAAAAAGAAATTTAGATTAGCACATTCCCCTTGCCTCATGCAAGCAAACAAATGTGCTTAAAGTCACATTTCTCTTAATAACAACTATGTTCGTATGCACAAACAGCTAGAGGGGAGAGCTAGAAGTCACAGCAAAGCATTAGTTAGCAATTGAGCAACCGCTTAATGTAATTCATACCAGAGAAATGGAGTAGCTAATAGTATAGTTTCCCAACAAAGCTTTACACAACGAATTTCAGGTACCTGCCATCAGGTTGTTGTAAGTTTCTCATCGTCATTAACAATGGTCTCCAATCAATACTGGTCAAATGGTAACCAACAATCTTCAGTATGGCTAAAGCACAGTATGTACTTGCCAAATGACTATGATTGTTACTGAAACCCTGCAAGCAAATCAAACATAAGCAAAAAGTTGCCAAAAACAGGAGAAAAATGCCAGCAGCTGAATGCTTTTATTGACAACTAAGTGGGATGCCTAAACCTAGGCATCACTAGAAGGACAAAGGTCAGTTTTCATGGTACCCCAGCATCGTCTGAATGATATTGAGAAGATCGGGAGCCATTAAACCCATAGAATTCTCCTGAGACAGGGAAAAAGTTCATTATCAGCATTTGGTGTGTTCATACAGGTACCTAAACTTGGACCAGTCTTGCATGTTGAAAAAGAGAAAAGATAGAGACCACGGGGAAGAGACTCTTTAAAGTCATCTAACAACTCCTTTTACCTTTTCCCAAATCGAAAAATAGAGCTATACTATCAGTTTAAGCCCATTCTCACAAATAAAAAACGATCAAGACATACCATCGTTAATTTCAGCAATATCTTCAGGGTAAGCTCGGAACGATAAAACCCAACTCGCAACTTCATCTTTGTCGACCTAAAAATTCCAAAAAAAAGGCAAGTGTTCAGGGCACAAATCAGTGGTAGTGGGATTAAACGGTACAAGCATTTTCTTGAATTTTTCCGAGCTTACGAAAGGAACTAAATGTTCATGTCAGCAATATATTCATACATTAGCAAACATATGCTTTTATTTGCATATCCAGACTCCAGTTAAAGTTACTGAGAATGTTAAGAAATATAGTTCCTTTGACCAATGCAGCATTGCTTAACAACTACAACTTAACTTTACCTTCATATCCAATACGTCACTCATCAAAGAAAGTGAAAGACTTGCTATTTCTCACCGGTTAAGGTAATGACTTCTCCTCTCTTCGATTAGCTACGTCTAACTACTAATTTTTCATTGGGTTAACAAATTTGAAGTCTCTGATCTCAACTAGTTAACTTCATAATTCAGACACCCTGATTTAGAGAGGCAGAAAAGTCACTCTAGAATGAAGGGAATTCTGAGCTAACCACGAGAACAATCCAACTATTCATGTATTTAGAAGCTTCAACAAACAATTGAGAAGAAGCAGCAGAGCTTACTGTATCTAGCGAACCAACTATGTCGAGGCCGGAGATGGCGAAATAGGCCAGAGTAAGGCGATTGATCTCTTGAGACTGGTAATGATGTGGTAGCATCTGGTACATCATCTGCAAGAACATCAAATGCCGCTCCCTTTCAAAAGAGGAGTCCGCTAGCAATTTACCAATACACTCTTCTTGTTCTCCTTCTTCCTGTTCTCCTGGTGTCGAGGGCGATGAATCGAGATCCAGCGGTTGTTCCGCCATGGTTGCGGAGAGAGAAGAGATCTGAGTTGCCACCGTTTGCAGCTCCGATTCGTTTCCGACTTCTCAAGCTAAACGGCAGTTAAACTGTTGGAAGAACGAAGAAGTTCCAAATTCCAATCCAACTAGGGGTGTGCAATGGTCCGGTCCGTACCGGACCACACCGGACCAAACCGTTGTTAAGACCGGACCAGACCAGACCGAGTAAAATACGGTCCGGTCCTTGGTCCTCATGAATTTTATAATTACTGAAGAAATGGTGGACCGAGCTCATATTTGGACCGGACCGAACCGGACCAAATGGACCAAATGCAAGAATGGTCCGGTCCTTGGTCCTAACATGTCTTTCACTAATGGACCGCGGTTCTTGTGAGTTTGGTCCGGTCCGGACCGAACCGAACCGTTGCACACTCCTAAATCCAACTGAAGAAAAAAAAAAAGGTGAAAGGCGAAAAGTAATGGTCTCAGTGGGCTGGACCGATGGGCCGAAGACCCACAAGCGTCCAAAAAATGGGCCTCGAGACAAAATCCAAACCGCTTACGATTGTGTTTTCTCTCTGCCAGCCCGAGGCCCAGAAGCACTCATTTCGCTACTCGCAGCCAAGTTTACTAGTACGTCGCACAAATCGCCGAAGATTCCGACATAGGAATTCCGTCGAGCAGCTGGTGTGCATGAGAAAAGACGCAGACCAGTGTGGACCCGAAGGAGAGACATGATCAGGGCCAAGAAATCCACCGTCTTGACGCTTGCTGAGAAGTGCAAGGTGTTGGGCCTGGCCTGATGACATCATTGAAAGTCCACGTGAGCCCACTCAACCGCATGAACCAAACGATGTCGTCAAAGCCAAAGAGAGAGCGTACTCACCTTCATCCCTCCAGCATCTTCGAAGAAAACACAAAAGAGGGGAGCTCCCTCGACTTTCCAGGTCTCGGTGTTCGACAACAACTCAAGACTCCCAACGGTAACATCATTGATGAAGGAAGAGGCGAATTGAAGGATGGAGTTCTATTTAAGGAGCATTGCATGAAGAAGATCGATGACGGTTTCCTCTGGCTCAGTTAGAACAGGTCTGTTCTCTGGGAGCCTTTGGTCTGGGTTCAATCGTGTAGTGTCTGGATAGCCGAGTTGGAGCTGTGGCTAGGAACTCAGACTATCTGGGCATGGCTGCTTCTCTTCCTTGTCTTCTCAATTAATTAGTTTCAGTATCGACTCTTGTATTGGATTCATCCAATTGATTGAGTCCGATCCATTCTTGTTTGGAATTCGAATAATTAAATAAACCCTAGGTGTCTTCCCTCCTTTCTCTAAGTGTTCTATGAAAATGAATTGGGGTGCATAGTGATTTAACAATTGGTATCAGAGCCTCCTTCTCAAAAGAACTCAAAGTTGCTGAGAAGGAGATCCTCTGCTCACTATGTCTTCAACTTCATTTCCTAACAGCTCAAATCCTCCTTGGTTTTCTGGGTCTAATTACTCTGTTTGGAAAAAGAGAATGAGACTGTTCCTCCGAGGAATCGATTGTGAGTTATGGGCAATTGTCCGAAATGGACCAATTGACATGAAAGAAGATGATGAGGAGGAATGGTCAAATGCACAGAAGAAAAGTGCTCAATTAGATTCTAGGGCCATGCATATTTTACTTTCTGCCATCTCTGATGATGAAGGGGAAAGAGTTAACAAATGTGAATCTGCTAAAGAAATATGGTCAATCCTAGAAACTACTCATGAAGGTACATCAGAGGTAAAAGAAACTAGAATTGATTTATTAATAAAGGAATATGAAACCTTTGACATGCTGCCTGGAGAATCAATTTCAGAAATGGATAAAAGATTCTCCACTTTAATAAATAGACTCAAAGGTTTAGGCAAGGAATTCTCGAGCAAAGAACTTGTTAGAAAAGTACTCAGGTCACTTCCTCTTGAATGGATGGCTAAAAGAACTGCCATAGAGGAAGCTAAGGACCTTAATGTATAGTCTCTTGAGAACCTTATTGGATCTCTTCTAAGTCATGAAGAAGTTCTGAAGCAAATGAACTCTCTTCATGACAAGAAGAATAAGTCAATTGCTTTCAATACTGTTTGCTCAGAACAAGAAGAAAGATTAGATGATGAATTTGAAAATGAACTAGCATTAACTAGCAAAAAACTGCAGAGAATGATGAAATTTAAGCACGACCAAAACTCTAGAAAGAGCAACTATAATAATAGATTCTACCCTGGATCCTCTGGGAATAGAAGTAACCATCAAACTAGACTCTCTGGACCTAACTCTGGTGGATCAAATGACAATAATTCCTTTGGATCCACCAGGTCAGAATCAAGTCCTAAAGATCACAAGAATCCTAGTAATAAAACTGATTCAACCATCTGTTTTAAATGTGGGAAAACAGGACATGTGAGAGCCAATTGCCCTCTCAACAAGAAGAAAGAAAAGGCAATGACTGCCTCCTGGAGCGACTACAGCTCCGAGGAAGAATCAGAAGTGGTTGCATACATGGGGTTAGGATCAAACATGGAAAATGAACCTGAAGAAAGCCAGGTAAGCGCTGAATCCATTTCTGAAAACTTGTCTGAGTTCCATGATGAAGACTTTTTCCTTCATGCTCTGTCTAATCTTCAAAACGAATGCAATCTACTTAAGAGTAAATTCTGCCTGACTGTGGCACAGCTTCATGAGAAAGAAAAAGAAAATCTGGCCTTAAAAGATTTGCTAAAATCTCAACAGGGAGCAATTAGCTTTCAGAACAATCAAGTTTGCAGTCTCTCTTCAGAAAACTTGAAATTAAAGAGGGAAATAAACCACTGTCACAGAGTCATCAATAGAATCCCACCTCATAGAACTGTTGAACCTAATCAAAGCTTTAAATCTCAGTACTCAATTTGTCATGTTAATCAATGGAAAAGATCCCCTTACTGCTCCTTTTGTTGCAAGTCAGGTCATAGTTATGAGAAGTGCTATTTCAAAAGAAACAAACCCAAACTTGTTTGGGTAGTTAAAACCTCTAACTAAAACTCTTTTCTTTCAGAATAAAATGGGAGCTAATATCTGGTATCTAGACTCAGGATGCTCTCATCACATGACTGGTAATAAGGAACTGTTCTCTTATCTTAATCCTAAAAAGGGAGGTAAAGTGTTTTATGGAAACAATAATTGTGCCTCAGTTATAGGCAAAGGCACAATAAGTAGTAATTCGTCTCTAATAATTGAAGATGTTCTTTTTGTGGAAGGTCTAAAACATAACCTTCTTTCAATCAGCCAAATCTGTGGCTCAACCTATCGAGTCATTTTTGACCCTTTTTGCTGCACCATTGAAAGAATTTCGGATAACTCAATAATTTTCAAAGGTAAAAAGGTCAACAATGTTTACACTGTTGATCTTGCTAGCCTTGACCTGTCTGAAAATATATGTTTAAGTACCATATCTGATTCTACAGTTAGCTGGCACAGAAAGCTTGGTCACTCTAGTATATCAAGATTAGCTAAGCTATCCAAATTGAATCTAGTTAGAGGCCTGCCTGTCATTAAGTCATCTGACAGCTTTACTTGTGAAGCCTGCATTCTTGGAAAACAGTGTAAGAAATCATTTAAGAGCAAACCCAATATTACTTCAAAATCAGTGTTTGAATTACTGCACATGGATCTATTTGGTCCCACCAATGTGCAAAGCCTTGGTGGAAAATCCTATGTTCTTGTAATTGTTGATGATTTTTCCAGATTTACCTGGGTGCATTTTCTATCCTCTAAGGATGAAGCCTTTCCTAAATTCAAAACCTTCATAAGACTTATACTAAATCAATATGAAACACGTGTCAAATCAATTAGAAGTGACAATGGGGGTGAATTTATTAATGATGAATTTAGTACCCTCTGTGATGAACTAGGAATTCTCCACACCTTATCTGCTCCTAGAACCCCTCAGCAAAACGGTGTGGTTGAAAGGAAGAATAGATCTTTAGTTGAAACTGCTAGAACCATGTTACTAGAATTTGATTGTCCTAAATACCTATGGGGAGAAGCTGTTAACACTGCATGCCACATTCTAAATAGAACCATCATAAATAAGTTTGTCAACAAAACTCCTTATGAAGTACTAAAGGGTAAACCACCTAAGCTATCTTACATGCATCAATTTGGTACTAAATGCTTCATTCTGAATACAAGAGACACCCTTGGAAAGTTTGACGCCAAGTCTGATATTGGCATCTTTCTTGGGTACTCCTCAAAAGGTCAGGCTTATAGGGTATTTAATAAAAGAACCAAGAAGGTTGAGGAGTCTGTGCATATTAGATTTGACACATCACATCATAGTCTCCCTATGGATCCTGACATCAACAACTATGATTTTCTTCCACTAATCTCCTGTTCTGAGAAAGATAGTGCAGGAATAGGTGAAAATAGTGGTGCAGGGAACTCAGAACTGCCAGCTTCATCGCCTGAATCTGACTCAGATTCTCCAATTGGGTCACTCAGTAAGAATCATGAGGCTCCAGCACATATCAGAAAGAGACATCCTTCCTCTCAGATTATTGGTAATCTCTCTGATCCCATACACACTCGAGGTAAGTATGTCCCAGGTCAGTACTCCTTCGTTTCTCTCTTTGAACCTAAGAACTTCAAGGAAGCAATTCTAGATGAGGAATGGCTTCTTGCTATGCAAGAAGAACTGTCTCATTTCATTAGACTTAAAGTATGGGAACTAGTACCTAGACCTCTAGGAGTGTCTGTCATAGGAACTAAATGGATATTTAGAAACAAATCTGATGAACTTGGCTTTATAATTAAAAACAAAGCTCGCCTTGTTGCACAAGGGTACAGTCAGGAGGAGGGTATAGACTATGATGAGACATTTGCTCCTGTTGCCCGTCTTGAATCCATTAGACTTCTGTGTGCTTATGCAAGTTACATGAAAATCAAATTGTTTCAAATGGATGTTAAAAGTGCCTTTTTAAATGGTGAAATAAAAGAAGATGTTTATGTTGAACAACCACCTGGGTTCATTGACAGTCAATACCCTGATCATGTTTTTAAATTATCTAAGGCTCTGTATGGCCTCAAACAAGCTCCTAGAGCTTGGTTTGAGAAACTGACATCATTTCTAATTTCTCAAGACTTCTGTCAAGGTGGTGTAGATAAGACCCTGTTTATTAAAAGGCAAAATAACAACTCACTAATAGTGCAAGTCTATGTGGATGATATAGTCTTTGGGAGCACTGATCCCAGCATGTGTGAAGAATTCAGCTCTATCATGCAAAATAAGTTTGAAATGAGCTTAATGGGGGAACTCAATTTCTTTTTGGGCCTGCAAATTCATCAATCCGAACTTGGTATTTTCATTCATCAAACCAAGTACTTGCATTCCATGCTGTCTAAATTTGATCTAATGAATGTCAATCCCTGTAAAACTCCTATTGCATCAAATGCTCATTTAGACTATGATTTGAATGGAACTTCCGTATGTGAGAAAAAATATAGAGGCATGATAGGATCTTTGTTATACCTAACCTCTAGCAGACCTGACATACAATTCAGTGTCTGTCTTTGTGCAAGATTTCAACATCAACCCAAAGAAAGTCATCTAAAAGCTGTTAAACGAATATTTAGATATTTGAAAGGATCTAGTGATCTAGGGCTTTGGTATCCTAGGTCAGACTCTTCTGCCCTTGTGGGATACTCAGACTCTGATTTTGCTGGAAGTATCACTGACAGAAAAAGCACTAGTGGTACTTGCCAATTCTTTGGTAGGTCTCTTGTTTCTTGGTCAAGTAAAAAGCAAAGCTCAGTGGCTCTGTCCACTGCAGAAGCAGAATGTGTTGCTGCTGGGTGCTGTTGCACTCAAGTCATGTGGCTAAAATCCCAACTTAATGACTATGGAATCACTGCAAACCAAATACCTATTTTTTGTGATAACACAAGCGCAATATGCATGTCTAAAAACCCTGTCTATCATAGTCGCACCAAACACATTGAGGTCAAACATCACTTTATTAGAGATCTCATACAGGCTGGTCACATTGAGTTAAATTTTATTTCAACTGATTTTCAAATTGCTGATATCTTTACCAAAGCACTATCATCCGAAAGATTTCTCAAATTGTGTGATGATCTGGGCCTTCAGTCACTTCACTCCATTCGAGGGAACAACTAAATCAGGTGCTGCTCTTCCTTTATTTAATTATGCTCTAGACTAAATAAATAAATTCCTGGTCAACTATCTTTACTTTCAATAAGTGCTTGTTCATGCATATGCTGTTTTAGTTATCTATGCACTGTGGTTTTCAAAACTTATCAATGATACGATTGAGAATGTCTCTTGCTATTCTCTTGCTCCTATAAAGTGTCTCCTTCTGATCGAACCTCTTCTCCCATCCTCAAACCCTCTCGACTCTATCCATCCAACCATGACAGAACTATTTACCTCATCCAACATCCCTGGAGCCATTGTCACATATGTAGGTAGAACCTTTCATGAGCCAGTTGATTTCAACCTGCATCGCTTCAAGGAATTTTTTGCATCCCGTCGATTAGCTGATCCCATTACCCTCGATCTCTTTGAGTTCAAATCATATGGAGTAGATATCACTCCTTACATTCGAAACCTAGGGTGGGAATTTCTTATGCATTATCCGCCCCTGCCAGCCTGTCCTCTACCTGTTCGCATATTTTATGCAAATCTGGACTGTCAAGGGATCACTACTCGAAAACTCTCCACTCTAGTGAATGGCTATCGGATCTCTCTCACTGCTGATGCCTTAGGAACTCTGCTAAACTTTCCTGTCGGAGAATCTCTTCCCTTGGCACATGAGGACGAGTTTCTTTTCTATGATTTCGATCACGTCATAGAATACTCCCGCATTGCTCAGCGTCCTGTTGCTGCTCATGAAACTGTCACCACTGCTGATCTCAACCCTGCCCTGCGAACCCTTCACTACTTCATTACACACTACTTCCTTCCCCGCTCCAGCTGCCACCACATTGTTACCAAAAAGGATCTTTGGATACTCTCCAATGCTCTCACTGGTCGCAAAATTGACTACTGTCAACTGCTGTTCGGGTCAATTGTTCGAAGTGCTGAGGCTCACTTAGGAGGCAGCCTTCCCTTTGGTGGCCTTATCACTCTTCTAATTTCAAATCTTGGTATTTCACTTGATGGCTACTCCTCATCCGACACTTCAGTATCCATTCCAGCTATTGTTGTCCTTGCCTATATCAAGGTTGACCCTCTCACTTCGAAAAGGGGAGATACTACTCTTGACCCCGCAGCTAAAAGGCCTAAACCCTATTCCAAGACATGCTCAAAAACTCTGAAACTTGGGGAATCCTCCTCTTCTGTCTGCAAAAATTTAATCATTGATTTCGAAGAAGAGGAAGCAGTACTGGAACCTGAAATCCTTTCAGAGAAAGACATCAAGATGTTTGCTGAGGATCTTGAAAAAGAATTGATGGAGGAAGAAGGAGGAAATGCAACTCAGGGGGAGCAAGCTGAAACTGCAAATGCTCAGGAGGACAAAACTCAAGGGGAAGCAACAAAGGAATAGTCTGGCACTTGATTCAAAATGTCGGGTCTAAATAATGAGAGTATCTTGAAACCTAGAACTCTGTCATAGTAGTAAAAGATCATAATGATCTAGTAGTTGGTTTTGACTGGTTGTTTTGTTTGAAAGACCATAATGGTCTAGCTTATGTGAAAGACCATAATTGTCTAAGTTAAGGCTGAATAATCAAGACTGTGTTGGCTATTGCTTCACTGGAATTATGTGTCTCTCCTTTTCTTTATAGACAGGATGCTTCGATAATGGCTTAATGTCTGCAGGGATCAAGGCTCGAACGCAGGGGGAGATTGTTGGGCCTGGCCTGATGACATCATTGAAAGTCCACGTGAGCCCACTCAACCGCATGAACCAAACGATGTCGTCAAAGCCAAAGAGAGAGCGTACTCACCTTCATCCCTCCAGCATCTTCGAAGAAAACACAAAAGAGGGGAGCTCCCTCGACTTTCCAGGTCTCGGTGTTCGACAACAACTCAAGACTCCAAACGGTAACATCATTGATGAAGGAAGAGGCGAATTGAAGGATGGAGTTCTATTTAAGGAGCATTGCATGAAGAAGATCGATGACGGTTTCCTCTGGCTCAGTTAGAACAGGTCTGTTCTCTGGGAGCCTTTGGTCTGGGTTCAATCGTGTAGTGTCTGGATAGCTGAGTTGGAGCTGTGGCTAGGAACTCAGACTATCTGGGCATGGCTGCTTCTCTTCCTTGTCTTCTCAATTAATTAGTTTCAGTATCGACTCTTGTATTGGATTCATCCAATTGATTGAGTCCGATCCATTCTTGTTTGGAATTCGAATAATTAAATAAACCCTAGGTGTCTTCCCTCCTTTCTCTAAGTGTTCTATGAAAATGAATTGGGGTGCATAGTGATTTAACACAAGGTGCTCAATTACTCCACCTTCTTCCTTTCTTAGCAGCTGAAAACCATTTCGTTCCTTGGGAGAAAAACCCACTAGTGAATTGGTAATGCTTTTCTGTAGAATGTACTGGCTTCTAACTGGCAAGGTCATCTCCATACAATCAAAGCAGATGCAAAAGGAAGGTAAGCATATTAGTTCAAGCTGAAATGTATATCCCAGGTCATAGCTTTGTTTGGTTGCCGAGGAATTAAGGAATAGGATATCTCTTCTTTGGGTTGGAGTGATTTTATCATGCGGAACATAACTTAGTATGTCTTTTTTCTGCTAATCAATACTTGAAATCTGCATTGATCATAGCAAGGAGGATGTATACAGTTCAAAGGTGAAGTATATAATGAAGAAAGGAAGGCCATTCATATGGGTACAAGACTAAGATATGCACAACATGGTACCATTCTGAATCTGGTTCTATTAGTTTTCTCGTTTTTTCGATTCGTTCACCTATGCCTGACGGTAAAATGATATGATGACAACATTTCTTGATGTTCCTGTACAGCTTACGCAGAATTCGTATGCCACCTGAGCATGAGAATTGACATGAAATATGTTGAAGCTGTTGGTTTCCACATAAATTTGTATAGCGGAGTTTAAATTTGTGGTTCTGGTCTATTTTTGCAGAATACCATCATTGATGAGCGTAGCTCATTCTCTGTTGCTAGTCCCTTCCCAGGGCCCTTGGCAAATTTACTGAAATTGACAGATAAGGTTGGTTTCTGAGTTACTTTTCTTCTCTCCCCCTCTTAGTTCATCAGTTGTGGTTTTAGCATTTGCCAGATTTGCTTCCATGACAAGTTAGTAGTTATATATGGCGGTTTAGTGACTGATGTTCTATGTAAGAGCTTGATCCCGTTTTCCAATATGTGCTCCAAGATACTGAGTAGTGTTTTACGTGTTTGATGCATAGTTACCAGCACGGATCGCTCTAACTGGGGACATATTACCTCTTAGAGAAGAAAAACAAAATTGTGACTAGAGATTCAGGAAATTAACTTGTCAAGTTGTTCTCCATCCAGTTCATGCATGTATGTAGATGGCGGTGGAGGAACACATGAAGTTGATACTGAAGAGATTGAAAAGTCTAGAACCGATCCGTTGGGTATAGCCTTTACATATTGATTCTACTGTACTTAATTCTCATGTCTGAATCGCCATGTTTATCCCATATGTGCATATCAGTTAACAGTTTGGTGTTCCACACTTTGCAGCATCGTTCTCTTCCAGGCTCATTGATGGCATAAACCAAAGCAAAGCAAGGCGTAAGGCCCTAACCCTTTTAATGCCAGGGTAAGAAACTCAAAACTTACTTCCACCATCCTTTCTCCCTTTGCTTCGCAACAGCATAGCAAAGCTAAGCAGTTTCCTCTCGCTTGTTAACCAGGATGCATACATGTTATCGGTGGATCGGAAGGGCTTCGACATGTTAGCAAAAGTTGCAGCAGTTAGCAGCGACGGTGTTTGTGATTACCAGTGGAAAGAATACAGATTCAGCTTCAAGGAAGAACCGTTCGAGCTCAAAGCTTTCTGCCGTCAATTAGTGGAAATGGAGGAGGAAGTCGTGAAGAAAATCGGAAACTACAGCGGGTTGACATGAAGAAAGAGAGTTTGGAAAATAATAGTCCTTCAATTAGAAACTGTGACATTACCCAAAACATTCTTTCAATGCTAAATGAAAGGAAAGAAAAGCATAATTGTTGTTCTCGACTATAAGCTAGATTACGGAAAAAAGGAAGCTAAAAGGGACACCAGAAAAAGCTGAGAATGGGACCTATGCAAAACTCCGAAACGGCAGCCTATCATCGGTTTAATCGACTTCTTCAATCTTGGGGCCGGCACCGCTGCTGCCGCCAGCCGGAGGAGCGTCATCATGCCCGCCGGCACCCATGTCAGGACCGGCGCCACCCTGGTACATCTTCGCAATGATAGGGTTGCAAATCCCCTCGAGCTCCTTCATCTTATCCTCGAACTCGTCCGACTCCGCAAGCTGGTTGTTATCCAGCCACTGGATCGCCTGGTCGATGGAGTCCTCAATCTTCTTCTTGTCGTCGGCGGCCAACTTGGAGCTAATCTTCTCGTCCCTCACCGTGTTCCTCATGTTGTAAGCGTAGTTCTCCAACGCATTCTTCGCCTCCACCTTCTTCTTGTGGTCCTCGTCCTCGGCCTTGTACCTCTCGGCCTCCTGAACCATCTTCTCAATCTCGTCCTTCGACAGCCTGCCCTTGTCGTTGGTGATCGTGATCTTGTTCTTCTGCCCCGTCGTCTTATCCTCCGCCGAGACATTCAGGATGCCGTTGGCATCGATGTCGAAGCACACGGTGATCTGAGGGACACCCCTGGGAGCCGGCGGGATGCCAGAGAGCTCAAACTTGCCCAACAAGTTATTGTCCCTCGTCCTCGTCCTCTCGCCTTCGTACACCTGAATCAACACTCCAGGCTGATTGTCGGAGTACGTCGAGAAAACCTGCTCCTTCTTGGTTGGGATCGTCGTGTTCCTCTGGATCAGAACAGTCATCACACCTCCAGCAGTTTCAAGCCCTAGAGACAGAGGCGTGACGTCCAGGAGAAGCAAATCCTGAACCTTCTCATTACCCTCGCCGCTCAGAATCGCAGCCTGGACTGCCGCACCATAAGCCACGGCTTCATCAGGGTTAATGCTCTTGCAGAGCTCCTTCCCGTTGAAGAAGTCCTGCAGGAGCTGCTGAACCTTGGGGATCCTCGTCGAACCGCCCACGAGAACCACGTCGTGCACCGTGCTCTTGTCCATCTTCGCATCCCTCAAGCACTTCTCCACTGGCTCCATACATTTTCTGAAAAGATCCATGTTCATCTCCTCGAACCTCGCGCGGGTGATGGTGGAGTAGAAATCGATCCCCTCGAAGAGCGAATCGATCTCGATCGTGGTCTGCGCGGTGGAGGAGAGGGTTCTCTTGGCTCTCTCGCAGGCTGTCCTGAGCCTCCTGAGAGCTCTCGGGCTCCCGCTGATGTCCTTCTTGTTCTTCCTCTTAAACTCCTGAACGAAGTGATTCACCATCCTGTTGTCGAAATCCTCGCCTCCCAAGTGCGTGTCTCCAGCGGTGGCCTTCACTTCGAAGATGCCCTCTTCGATGGTGAGAAGCGAGACATCGAAGGTGCCACCGCCGAGATCGAAGATCAGGACGTTCTTCTCGCCGACGCTGGTGGCCTTCTTGTCGAGGCCGTAGGCGATGGCGGCCGCGGTGGGCTCGTTGATGATGCGCATGACGTTGAGGCCGGCGATCACGCCCGCGTCCTTTGTTGCCTGGCGCTGCGAGTCGTTGAAGTAGGCAGGGACGGTGACGACGGCGTTCTTCACATCGGTGCCTAGGAAAGCCTCGGCGATCTCTCGCATCTTGATTAGGACCATGGACGAGATCTCCTCGGCGGCGAATTGCTTCTCGTCGCCTTTGTAGCTCACGTTGATCATCGGCTTGTCGCCTGGACCGGCGATGACCTTGAATGGCCAGAGCTTAACGTCGCTCTGCACCGACGAATCGCTGAACCTCCTGCCAATCAGCCTCTTCGCATCTGAAACAATCAAAACACAGGAAATTAAGCTCCAATTCAAAATCTCTCAATTGGCTAAGAAATCACTTCCACACTATCAAAACTCACAATCGCGACGCCCTGACATTGAATTTTTTTAGGGATTGAATCATCCGGAAAAAAAATTCAAATAGGAAAACTGGGACTTACCGAAGACGGTGTTGATAGGGTTCATGGCGACCTGGTTCTTGGCGGCATCGCCGATCAGGCGCTCGCTGTCGGTGAAGGCGACATAAGACGGCGTCGTTCGGTTTCCCTGATCGTTGGCGATGATCTCGACCCTATCGTGCTGCCAGACGCCGACGCAGGAGTACGTCGTGCCGAGATCAATGCCGATCGCCGGACCTTCTCCTTTCCCCGGCATTTTGGAGCGATGAACACTCTGAGGGTAGAACTACGGGAGGTTGTTGTTCGATTTCTTTCGGGGGGAAGACTCGCAGTACGTGATTCGATTCAGATGGTGGAGAGTGCAGGTGGGAGTTCCGTTTTTATACAGGGGCTTCAGTTCTGGAATGTTCTGTATGAGAGGGTTGATTCTGGGCCGTCGATTGGATGTATTGGACGGTGGAGGATCGGTCCTTGTTCGATACGGATTTGAATTGTCTCGCTTAGTCTTCTGGCGGAGGGAAAGGTTCCTTGATTTTAGGTGTGTATCCCTTTTCCTTGACCGAGTCGGAAATAGACACGTGGCGTAAGCTCGTTCAGTCCGTGTTCTCAGATGGGCCATGCCAATGCCGAAGATTATTTCGAAGCCTAAGTTATCTGATCAGTCCAGTTTGGGGCCAATACTATGGGCTAGCCCAACTATATAGCCCAAAAGTATCTTGGGCCAGAGAAGAATCTAATTTACCGTTAGGATTAGGACGCGGAGCCCCAGGGGCCAGGGCTGTGCCGGTAATCACGGATGTTATGCAGTAAGCGATGCGATTCTGACGAGTATATCCGCCACACGTGGCCACTTTTCTATGGTGTCACATATGGCTGACGTGTCTGTCACTTTTTTCTGCGCGCTGCCTGGGGACGGTAAGAAGCCACAACGCGGCACCCTTTTCGGGTCGGGGAGAAAGGCCCAAAAGGCCAAAACTATACGCGAGGGCATTTCCGTACTTTTAGCGCAGCGTTTGCCACTGCCGCCTCCCACACGATTCTCCTCCTCTTCCCCTCTCCCTCCCTCTCCCTCCATTCCGTTAATTCAGATTCACAGAGTGAATAATAATGAGAAAAATCCTGCAGTAACCGCCACACGTTCCCAGGAGAGAGAGAGAGAGAGAGAGGCCGCCATAAACGAACGCTTTGCCTGAGTTTCTCTCCCCTGTTCTTCTTCTTCGTCAGGCTAGAGAGGAAGGTAAATGGAGGTCGGTGGAGCCGAGCTGGAGAACTTGACCGAATTACCGGTTGCTTCTAATCTTCCCGAACCGTCGACGAACCCTAATTCGTCGGAGCAGCTGGCGGCCGCGGTCCGTAGGGAAGACGGGGAGCTTTCTTCATCATCTGACGACGACGTACGTTATTTCTCCTCCACCTTGTCTTTCGTTTTCGCGTTTGTTGTTTTGCGTATTCTGCTTCTGCTGGTCCTGCTTATGGTACTTGGAGACGTCACGATTGGACGATGGAATTTGAGCGTGTTCAGTCGACGCTAGCTTGTTTGCGCCTGAGATTACTGTTCCCTATGCTTTTCATCTGAAGATTGGATGGGTTTCTGCGTGTGAGATGATTTGATACGAGCTGGGGAAGCTCCCATTTGATATCTGTGAGAGCAGGACGTGCTTGTCGCAATTATGGTAGTTAACACAGACTTGATTTGAACAGCTTGTATGAGCGTCTTTGGGGTTTTATATAATAGTCCGTTCGTCCGAATTATAATTGAGCAAAATGTTAGGGATCGGGGGTTTAGTGATTTTGGCCGTGGCCTGATTCTATACAGTCTTGGTTTGTTAAAGAGGAATAGGTTTCGAGACTATAATTGATATATTGCACACGGCTACTTGTTTTCCCCGTCCCGCCATGGCAGTCTACGCCTTCTGGATTTGGTTTCTTCTGACACTACATTATCTCTTTTGAGTTTGATACTCTGTTGTCTGGGTTTATGGAACTTAGTTTGCTACGTAATTATGGCACTAGTTCAATCAATGCTCACCCGCTCTCTACTCAAGTGTTGTTGAATATTCATGTAATGCTTTTGTAAACTTAAGCTTACCGTCTTTCTCTTCCGCTCTCAAATTATGGCAACGTCTTTATCCCACAGGAAAACTGCAGTTCCAGGTTGCTGGAGTCATCTGGCACTGATGTTCCTTCAGAAGCTGGGGGGCTTTGTCTTGTTGAGCCAACAAAGACGTCTATGCTATGTGTTCCTTCAGGTGAAGCTTACTTGCCTAT